CTCTCGGATAATCTGCTCTGCATACATGTTGAAAAGGTATGGAGACAGGATGCATCCCTGGCGTACACCCTTCCCAATTTTGAACCATGCAGTAGAGACAGAATTTTCATGTGATTCCATGATACCAGATATTCTTTATTCCTTTTCCCATTCTCTGCTACATGATGGGATAGAATAATAAGTTCACTATGGAGACTGGACCCAATGGCATATTTTTTCCTTTTTTAAAATTTATTTTAATGAAAGTTTACAGAGACTTAGGTTTCCAGTCAGTCATTGTTGCACTTTTTTCCCACCCCCACCCCAAGTCATTCTTATCCTTGAAAAGAAAAAGAAAAATTCTTTCATTGTTATGCAGTCCCTCCCCGAACCAGTGGCATATTTTTAAATCAGCAAAGCTAAGTGACTTCATTTATCTACAGGAGTAACATAGTACTTATCAGTTTGTTGTCTATGAAACACCTGGAATCAGCAGTTTCTTTATAACTACTTACTTCAGGCTATGAACTCTAAAAAGTCTATCACTACGCATTATCAATCCCTCACTCATTGCCATTGAGTCAGAACCAACTCATAGCAAATCAACAAACTCCAGTGGATTTCTGAAGCTGTAAATCACATATTACGCCAGAGGCACTGCTGATGGTTTTGAGCAACCAAAGAGGTACTGTCTTTGGGTTAACAGTGCAGTTCCCTATAGAGTATGCCACCAAACCTCCCACTATGAACTGTACACAGATTCAGAGTGTATTCTTAAACTGGCACATTGAAAAATGTAATTTCTTTTTCTTCTTCTTAGTAACAAAGCATTTTTATATCCTTTGAATGATAGATATCATTCATCCACAAAATTTTTTTTAATTATGTTTAAATTTGTCCTTCTGAAAGCCAGTAAATGGTCAGAAATGATCATCAGACCTAAAAAGAGATTTTAAAATTGCTTTACCATGCTCTGATTACAGGCTCATATAGAAGACATAAATGGTGAAGAGTATATAGTATTTGGAATGGTCCTCTTTTTGTGGGAACACGTGCCAGCATGGTCAGTGGTACTGTTTTTCCGGGCACAGAGATTAAACCAGAATTTGGTATGATATCATTATATCCTTTGATGCTCATTCTCCTTATTTTTTAAAAAAATAATGGAAAGTATGTTTTTGGGTTTTTTTGTTTTGTTTTGTTTTGCAATGCTTAGGACAAAATCATTGTAGATTCCAAGCTCCTTTCATAATTGAAAAAGAAATCTTTTAATGTTATTTGATGTTTTGTTCACAGACACCTGCTGGCATGATAAATAGCCACAATTATAGTTCCAGAGCTTACTTTTTTGACAATCCAAGGCGGTATGACAGTGATGATGACTTACCAAGACTGGGAAATTCACGAGAAGGAAGGTAGATATAACATCACTTATTCTGAATTATTACTGAAATAGATTGAAAAGCACAGTGTAAGCTTTAACTCAGAAATGGAAAGGAGTGATTTGGTGGTCTATGTCAGAAGGTCCCTTAAAATTAGAGCTTAGAGAGCTCCAGTAGGTTGGTAAAAGTATAGAGGGACTTGCACGATAAAGAATATCATCTGCTTCTAAGCTTATATATTAATTAATTTTATTTGATAAATGCCTTTAGTCAACATTTTATTTTACCTCAGGATCCCGTGTCGTTTCAGAGTAAGCAGGGAATGAATATTACTGTAATTGTTACATATTTCTTTTTTTTGTGTGGCTGAGTACAGTGTACTTTATTGATGGTCCATGACAATATGGGCTCTCCAAGCCCCTCCACCCAACACTTTCCAGGGGGATTTGATGGAAACTTGTGTCAAGGATATGAGATTCTCAGTGTGTGGGAGGATCAAGTTGGGGCAAGGACTCCCCAGCAGCTGAGGGTCTCTCTCTCTCTTCTAGTGCTATTGCTGGGGTTGGTGGTCCAAGGGGCTCTTATTCTCTGGAGGTCATGGGAACCATCATATCGACCACCTGGTTGCTGTAGCCAAATTCATTGTCATACCAGGAAATGAGTTTGACAAAAGTGGTCGTTCAGAGCAATGCCAGCCCCAGCATCAAAAGTGGAAGAGTGGGTGTCACTATTGAAGTCACAAGAGATAACTTGGTCTTCACTGTATCTTAGGATGCCCTTGAGGGGCCCTTCTGATGCCTGCTTTACTACTATCTTGATTTCATCATATTTGGCAGCTTTCTCCAGACAGCAGGTCAGGTCCACAACTGACACATTGAGGATGTGGACATGGAAAGCCATGCCGGTAAATTTCCCATTCAGTTCAGGGATGAGCTTGTCCACAGCCTTGGCAGCGCCAGTAGATGCAGGGATCATTGTTCTGGGCAGCTCCACGGCCATCACGCCACAGCTTTCCATAGGGGCCATCCACAGTCTTCTGGGTGCCAGTGACGGCATGGACTGTGGTTGTGAGTCCCGCTACAATGCCAAAGTTGTCATGGATGACCTTGGCCAGGGAAGCCAACCAGTTGGTGGTGATTGGGGCATGGCTGACAGTCTTGAGAGAGTTTTCATACTTTTCATGGTTCATGCCCATCACAAACATGGGGGCATCAGCAGAAGGAGCAAAGATGATTACCTGTTTGGCAGCAACCTTCAAGTGAGCTCAAGCCTTCTCCGTGGTTGTGAAGACACCAGTGGACTCCACAACACACTCCGCATCAGCATCACCCCACTTGATGTTGGCAGGATCTCGCTCCTGAAAGATATTGATCCCGTTGATGGATGACCAGCTTCCCATTCTCAGCCTTGATAGTGCCGTTGAACTGCCATCGGTGGAATCATATTGGAACATATAGGCCATGTAGTTGAGGTCAATGTAGGGATCATTGATGGCAACAACATCCACTTTGCCAAAATGAAAAGCAGCCCTGGTGACCAGGCGCCCAATGCAGCCAAATCCGTTTACTCCGCCCTTTACCATTGTGTCTCAGGGATGCGGCTGAGGCTGCACAAGAGAGGGCAATCTGGATCAACGAGCAGAAAGCCTGTAATAGTTATGTATTTCTCACTCTCTCTCATTGTTGTCAAGTCAAAACTAAATCATAGTTGACCATCCACTGGTTTTTAAGAGGCTGTAAATTGCACAGGATGAGACTGCTCCTCTTTTGTGGTACAGCAGCAACTACCCATGAGGCCACCAGACAGCTATTTAAAATCTACTTGAGATTTCCTTGGGATATACTCCTAGCAGTGGAATAACTGAGAAATACGGGATTTCTGTGTTCAGCTTTTTGAGGAAATACCAAACTGCCTCCCATAGCAGTTGTACTGTTTGTTTGATGGGGACTTGAAGAGATGGGAAGACAGTAGGCATTGAGCAATGGTAATTAATTATATAAAATACAATGCATATGAATGATTGCAGAAAATACATTATACACAAATGAAAACAACATATGAATGATTGCATAAAACACAAAGTACACGTACAAAACATGATGTATATGAATGATTATATACAAACCAATACAAATTTTAACAAAAAAATCTGGAGAGCCCTAGATAAAACTCTTAAGATGCTTATGTACCCAAAGAAAGCTTTCCATGAACTCCTTGCTTAAAATTCATGTAGCATACAGTTAGCAGTCAGGCAGTATAAAAGCTGTAACTCACACCTATCTAATGCTTTCTGCTTGATAGAACCTTTTCTATAATCCAAACTTCATTTGAACAAGTTACTTAGCCTCAGTATTTTATCTCCATTTTTTATAATATTTTACAAAATAGGGGAAATAATAGAACTTATCTCACAATGTTACTCTAGAATTGATCAGTTCTACTCAAAGAAGTAATCCACTTTTCAATGGCATGCTTTCCTTCTGAGGCGAGTGTGGCTTTAGCACTCGTAGTTATAACTGAAGAAGAATCACTGTTAGCATTTGTTTAAAAGAATTGTGGAACCATTGTATAGGTCCTGTTATTTAGCAAATAGAAAATAAAAATTTAGGTCCTATTTAGCAAAATACTTTTTAGTATATGTACAGATCTATGTGCACACAGACATGTGTGTGTGTGTGTGTGTGTGTGTGTATACACACACATCTTAGAATAAATAATAAGCTTTGCTGTTTATGATCTAATAATCATGTTCTGTCAGCTCTGGGTAGCATTTATTAATATAATGTGAGATGAAACAGGTTATTACAAAAAAGTAGTATTTTTAATAAAGTCATTGTACTGTTTGCAAAGATCATCTCTCAGAATATTTTCTATTAATTATTTTATGAAATTCATTTAAAACTAATGACAGTCTTGTGGATTGCTTTGCCTTTTTTTGTTGCAGTTTACCAAATTCGCAAGGTTTGGGCTGGTACGGCACCATGGCAGGATATGGCAGCAACAGTGACACAGCCCCTCCACACCTGAACGGCCCTGTGGCAGACACTGCTCCTTTGCTCTTCACCTGTAGTAATTTAGACACGAACAGTCACCGTAACTTATATACACCACCACTAAACTGACAGCATTACCAAGTCATAATTCTTGAAGTGTTCTTCATGGATGTGTACATTCAATGTGTTTTGATTCCACCTACATAAACATTTCATCGTCTGTTACAACTGAAAACAAAGCCTGGAAATAATGTGTTCAGCAGAAGACACAGCTGTTACTTGAGATTTCTTCATAGTGACATGAGAGAGAACAGACAATTTGGAGGAGAAAAGCAGTAGATTTTAAGGCACTTGTAATGACCTTCACACATCTTGACTTTGGAACATCAAATGTCTGCCTATTTGCACTTTTATCTTGGTTCTGAAAGAGTTAACTGCAATCCCCAGTGTTCACACTGGCATAGTATATTGTACACCAAGTTGGGAGATGGTTTTTCTACATAAACACTGTATATTCAGTGGTGTATTCTATGTGGAATTCTTGCCCAATAAACTTTTCACAGTGTGGACTCTATGGAATTAAGGCATAAAAATGTATCATTTTTTAAAAATTTACTCAAAATATTTAATCACTGAAAATAGTTCTTTTAAGCATGACTTTAAAATGCCACATGAAGAAATTTGCGTTTATTTTAAACAGACGTTAGTAGTGACTCTACAGTGATGACCAGCAACGTTCTTTAGAAAGCCACACTAATTTTTTCAAAAGGACAGTAAACCATTGAAAATTGTGTTGCTACTTTGAGTAAAACTGGTCAAGTGATTATTTTGTATTATTAAGATTTATGTAGTAGAGATAAAGCATGATTCTTCAAGAAAGCAATAGTGATCTTTGGATAGAGACATTTTGGTAGAAACTTCATGAGACTAAACATGTTTACAGATTCCTAAAGTGTACACTTCTAAGTTAAAACCTGGATACATTTTTTAAAAAGCATTCTCTTTAGCAGAAATAAAACTGATCTTACCTATTGATGCAGGATTGTCCTCAGGTAAATTAAATCATGATACATCACTGCAGTGAACTCAAGTGCAATACTTTTTAAAATGTGATTCCTCCTTTAGTTTTTGTATTTTTACCTTATATATTGGCAAATGCCAAATTAAATTAAAATTAATTCCAACAGAACACTGAATGAATACATTTATTTAAAGCATTAATTAGGTAAGTATAAAACCAGCAGTTAACAATATTTTAAGACCTTTAGAATTTCATTAAAACAGATTTGACTATCCTACCCCAAAACTAAAAAAATACATGGTAGGGTAATAGAAATTTTTAAAATGCACTTTCTGCCAGTACCTATTTATAAGGAAAGAAGTAGAAGCTGAATACCTCAAGATACCAGTGGAAAAGGCAGCACTAGAAAGTTAGTACAGCATGCTAAGACAGCTAATTAAACAACTGTCTGCTGATCTCTTCAGAACTGAAACTAGTAATACGACTGTCTTTTTCAGTCTTCTTTGATTGGAAACTTATATCTTTCTCCCTTTAATTAAAATGCAGTAACTTCATATAAAATATATGGTAAGTGAAAGAATGTCCAAGTAATAAAATTACATTTTAAATTACTTCAGTCATTTGAGAGACCGATACAAAAAAATTTCTTGTTAAAATTTCTTTACATTTTTACCTCTTTAATATTTGTTTCACAGAATTATAACAAAATTACAATACAAGCATAAATTTAGTTGTTTCTTTGGGGTTTGCTTATAACAAGTTCTCTAACCAAATTATTAGAAAATTTATAGGACAGAAACAACTTTCATAGTCACTGCTACAACTTCAATTATTAGATTTCAGGATGTTACCTATTTCTTTTGCTATTATATAATATGTATAATATATATTAGGCCTCTTGATTATCTAGAGCTATCTGAAAAGATCCATGTTGTCTTTGTTAATCCTTGGGATTCAGGGTAATAATGTGTTCTAGTAAAGCTTCTCTAGATAATGTTATTTTATCAGACGAGCAAAGATTACTCAAAAGTTTTCTCAGATCTGATTCTTTCTGTTTCATTAGCTGACTTCCAAATTTGAAACTTGTTTATTCTTGTCACTAAGGTACCTAAATATTTGCATTTGTCTCCTTATACACGTCTCCCACAGTACATCACCAAAGACAAAGAAAAGCTTCTGGCCCAATTTTTACTTAAAAATTCCAAAGCACGAGGAGCACTTTAAGTTTAGTCTTTAAGGAAGGAGTCATTTTTAAACTCAAAGGGCTACTGATTCCCTGTTCATCCTGCACTGAAGCACATGATGACGATTTCAAACCTTCCTTTTTGGTTCATTAATTACAAAATCAAATTTCATTGCTTATGTATGTAATTCTACAGTTATTAGCAGTATTTGTTTTTATTGTTATATTTGGGTAATTCTTAATTTTTAAATTCTTATTCTAGCGGGATTTAGTTTTTTGGTAGATGTAATTTATAGCTAGAGTGGCTTTTTTATGCATAACCGCCTTTTTTATTGTTTAACTGTGTTTCTCAGCTATATAATCAGTTTCAGACTGGTTTCAAAGTATAGCTGTGGCCAATGAATGTATTTATTTGTTGTTTCACTAAATTATAACAAAACACTACTGTTAAAAATAAAAATATTTGTGCTTTTATTTCAATGTATAGTTTTCTTAATTTCTTTTAGTGGTCTATGCCTTTCTCCACAATATAAAGACTGACACAGTGCCTACAGCAATGCACTCAAGTATGTCAGAGATTCTGAGGTTGGCACAGGATAGGACAGGGTGCAGCACTGTTCATAGGGTTGCTATGAATCGTATTCAACTTGACAGCACTTAAAAGTCACCATTAGGAATAAGGGACTGTAATCTTTACTACAGAAAAGGGGAAAATACATCATTATAAAGTAGTTTGCTTTTGATGATCTCATACATCTGAACATCAAATCATTTAGTAATATATACCAATTTGATTTCAAATGTCATGTACAGGCAGCTGTCAGGTGACAAATGAGATCCATTCTTTTTTAAGAATTTGTAGATAACTTGGAACAGATGTAATGATTCTTACATAGTTTAGTACAAGAAAGGGCTCTAGGCCTTTTTAATTAGGAAGAAGCTAAATGGGTAGCAAATGAAGGTGATTTTGATAACTTGTAGCAACAAGAGGATAATGCAGGGAGGTCTGGTGGCCTAGGGGTAAAGAGTTCCACTGCCAACCCAAAGGCAGGCAGTTCAAATCCACCAGTTAACTCTGTGGAAAAGGCAGTCTCTTGCCAAGCAGTGTACAGCCTCTGAAAACTTGCTTGAGGGTCAGCCATGAGTCAACTCTGACTTAAGTGTTGTTAGGTGCCGTCAAGTCATAGGAGACTCATAGCAGGTGACTCATAGCGACCCTATGAATGGAAGTCCTTGACACTTACGTGCATAACTTTCATCCTTTCTCCAAGTTCATAGGGTTTCTGGAGGCAAGCTCTTTATGGAAGTGGCTGCCACTCCTGCTTCCAAGACTTAAGGGTACATAACAAAAAAACCAAATCATTTCATTCAGTTGAGGGTAAATTTACATAACATTAAAGGGCAAGGAGTTGCCTTTAAATCATACATTTGTAACTCAGGAGCTGTCTATAAAATATTGAATATACATTAGATAATACATGTTTATTCAAATATTAAGCTAAGGAAATCCTTACATGGAATAATATATAATACTTCTCCCCTACCTTCCCTTTAGATTCTTAAACAGAAATCAATGTACCCCATAATTCCAAGCAGCTATTCTTTAATTACTCAAGAAATTATTTATAATGATGCTGCCCTTTCCCTTAAAAGTTATTTTCTTCCCCCCCAAAGAAAACACACCCCAAATTTTGAATACAATTTCAGCATCTTTATTGGCCTCCTAAACTCCACAATTTCTTGGGAGCACTGAGTCTTGCTCTGTAGAATATTTGAAGGTGTAACCTTTAATATAATAGAAGTGTTACTTTAAATGCAATTTAGTCAACAAACATTTATTAACAGTTCATATGCCAAAATTATGCTGTGGAGCTGCAAAAGCAAATGAGGTTCCTCTTCCTGCCCCTAAAGAGCTCACATTCTAGTAAAGGAAGCTGTGAAAAACAAAACACATGGTACAGTACAATACGTCATAAAATGGAGGTAGGTCCTAATTACAGTGGTGGCACAAAGGAGGAAGTCAGACGACTCATCTTGAAGAGCAAGAAAATTTTCACAGAGGAGATGCTTGTGTTGGCCCTGCAAGGATGCCACATAAGTGCTCCAGGAAGGGAAGGAATCCTAGGTTACTTGATCCAAAGGTAATAGCACCTAGGTATAGAGGCCTGACCAGGGAGCATATCTGGAGAATTGTGATGCTGTTTTATGAGAACTGTCCGGATGAGGCAGATAATCCAGTAAATGCTGAGAACAAGGAGACAAGGTAGTGTCTCAACCTGCAAAAACAAATGAAGTTCCTATTCCTATCCCTAAGAAACAGGGGAGAGAGAAAGCAAGTTCAAATCCCTTAGCAGCTCAGGAGAAAAATGAACAATCTCCTCCTGTGCAATTTAAAGATTCTGAAAATCCAATAGGGGGTCAGCTATGAGTTAGTCCAACTCAATGGCAAAGAGTGAGTGATAAAAAAATTTTGATAACTTGGAGATAAGCAAACATATCAGAAGAGCATAAACACTAACTGGATAGAGAGAAAGCCGAAGAGAGGACCGAGTCTAGCAAATTTAGAAGATCATGATCCAAAAATGAACCAAAGTAAAGAAAATAAGCACAAGAGTAGGTTTAGGGGGAAAGGATTATTTTAGACACACACACATGTCTGTGGGCCAGCCAAGTGAATATGCACTTGAGTAGTTGGATTAAGAGGTCTGGGCTAAAGATAAGGATTTAGAAATTATTAGATTGGGTTTATTCAAGAGAATAGCAAGGATGGAAGGCATGAAAATATACTTAAGGGGATAGGGGGAGAATGAAGGAGGCTGAAAGGGAGTGAGTAAAATTTAAAGAACTGAGAAGAATTCTGAAAGAGTTGTAAACATTATCAAGTGTCAAGGGAGAAAGACAAATTTGCTTCCAACAAATGGAAACCTGTCTGTGCATTTAGAACAAGAATTTTAGACTTTATAGGAAAGAATTCTTAAGAATTATAGGAGCAGAAGCCAGATTTTAGTTAAGGAGCAAGTGGGAAGTGACAAAATGAAAGTATGAATATTCTTTTACAGAGTTTGGGTATTTTAAAAAAGCTATGAGATTTTGAGAAGTATATAGACAAAATCACAATCTGAACCTAACTATCAAACTTCAGAGTACTACAAAAGTCTCTAAACGTTTATGTACGATGGTTACTTTATAATCCTTTAAGTCTGCAAGAGGATTATCTCTCTTTTCCTGCCCTATTCAAGAGAATGAAGAGGAAAAGAAAAAAATGGGACACATATTGTTAAATTTCACTCTGAAGTCATTGAAAATACTGGATACATATTCATATACATTCATTCTGTAACAAATATTTATTGGCTACCCTATGTGTTTAACACTGTACTAGATTTTAAAGACACAGAAAGAAAACAATATAGCACTGTAAAGTGACATTTTCTAAACCTTTGTATAAGTAATCCCTGCTCTTTTAATATTGTGCATCTCAACATGGAATACCTGCTGAGATGATGATTAAGAAGGTATATATTTTATGATGCACAGTTTTTCCTTTCTCCTACAATTACCCTATGATACAAATTTCTAAACCTCTTAAATTCCGTTTTAGGGTGGCAAAGGGACAACCCTCATATATGAATAACAAACACGGAATTCCAGATTACTATACAGCTCAAACAGAGAGCAAAATAACTCAAAAAAGAAATTGAGATTGGAAGTCAATATAATTTCTTATTCTAAGACTTACAGTTTCAGATTTGTTTTTTGTATGTGTGTTACTAAAAACATAACTTTAAAAATTCTTCACTCAAGGGGCAAAATGCCGGTAACTGACTTTTTTTTTTGAGTGAGGAAAAAGAGGACACAAAACACAGAGCAAATATGGACAAATATGAATAAATGAGCTCTCTATACTATTCTTAAAATTATTATGTGAATTTGAAATTACATTAAAATAAAAAGGTCCCCAAAAATTGTATTCCATATTAGAGAAAGTGTTATAAGTAATATAAATCTAAACTTTTCACAATATGTAGAAATTACTTCTATATCTTCGAATTGTTATTGTACCTTTCTAAACACCAAAACAGCCTTATCAAAATAGAATAATATTAAAAGTTATTTGTTTTTATACCAATATACTTAAAATTGCCAGATAAAATACAAGGTTTCCAAATAAATTTCAATTTCAGACAAATCACTTTTTAATACAAGTATATCTCAAATATTGTATGAGATATTCTTTTACTAAAAACTTCTTCAATGTTTATCTTAGTATTCTGTGGTTTGTTTGGTTTTTGCTGTATCTGGCACCATACATGCATTTTTTTTTTTAATTCTTAGTATTAATTATGAGACTTCTTAACATTTTCATGTTAAACACTTGTCACAAGGGCCATGGTTTTATTTATATTATATCCTCTGATACAAAAACTCAATCTGGAGAGAATCAAAACATCATTCACTTAGCTTTACTAAATACAAATTTGATAATCCTGATTTTATTCAGTATTACTTTAAAATTTCACATTATCAAAGTATTACTTTTACTCACAATATTATACAAAGACTTAACACAATTACAAAATGTTTACTTAAAACAATATAGATCTCCTCTTACAAAAGCAGCTTTATATAAAAAGTTTGGCTTAAGACTGTCATTGCCATTATGCTTTTCAAAGTCCATTGTTTGGCCTCCATTGTCCAAAAACAGGTATATTTTACCGTTGTGTCTTTAATGAATATTCTGCAACAAGTTTCTGAAGGTTTCCAATTCTCTCACACTTGTAGAAATTCTGTAAGTAAAAAAATAAAATTCACTCAAGTCATCTCAGACAAATGTCTCTTGTAAACGTTATTCTTCATTATGTATTTGTAGAGCAAAGAAATTTTTATATCTTTTATTTCTAGAAATTTTAATATTTCAATCTAAAATACTCTAATTCTGATTTAGGCATAGTAAAACTCACTAAAATAATATTATCTGTCCAAAAATTAGCTCTTTTTAATATTTATATGTTTTTGGTGCTACTGTGTACCACCAAGTGAGAATTGACCCACAGCTCCAGGGGATTCAGAGAGGCAGTAAATTGCACGGGAGGTGATTGTCTATCTTTTCCCCATGGAGCAGATGAGTGGATCTGAACCGCTTGCCTTTGGGCGGGCATTTCAATTCCTTACCAACAAGCTACCAGAACTCCCTAATATTTCTATACCTAATATATCATGTCCATGGTACAAATGATTACGTTTTCAACTACTAACTGAAAGATGGGCTGTTCATACATCACAAAAGGCTCTTCAGAAGACAGGCCTAGCATTTTGCTTCTGAATGGTCCCAGCCTTGAAAATCAATGCAATAACAACTAACAAGAACAACATACGTAATATGTAATAGTTACTAATACTTAATATTAACTATATTCATGCTAATAATATTACATACAAAGTGTCATTTTAAATATATAAATCCTTACAAAATTACTATTACCCTATTATCATATCTACTAAATACAGTTAACAATTATATCTACTGGTCTGTATAAATGAGAATAGTAAATGTGTGATCAATTTTTTTCTTTTCACTAATTTCTATAAAAAGTAATGTTCATCATTATTTTTTTTAATTCTTTTTAAGTGTTCTTTGGCTCTGCTCTCCACTATAAAAAAATGGAGCAGAATACAGAATAAAATATAACCATTAAGCTTCTGAGTATCAAAGAAATAACTTAGGTCAATTATTTCAAGCTTCAAGTCACTGTAATTTTTTAGATTAATGTATCCTAAAAAATATTAATTTTTATAGATCTCACTAATCTTTACTAGGATAAGCCAGAAAGAAATTCACTTATACTCACATTTATAAGTTCCATATTTCAAGTTTAACCTTTACTCACTTTAATAAAAAATATTTCTTATAAAAGATTCAACTTGTTTAGCATGATTATGAATTAGAGAAATCTGCATTCATATCTATCTTAAGCAATGTATGATTTTTATTTTTCCCCAAAGCCTTTAGAAAAGTAAGTTGGAAGCACAAAAATCTACTTCTAAAATTTTAGAATACTCAAATTCCTTAACATTAATATTATTGTCCAATACAATAATACAATAATATTAATGTCCATACATCAGTCATGATTATAAAAGTGAACAGATGAAAATAAAGACTATTATCAAAAACTTTTTCTACATATGTGAGTCAGATTATCATTAAGCTATATTAAGCTAATTTCACAGGAAAGGAAATTTCTTACCCAGTTTTACCTGAATGTCTACATGCTGATTAGACTTATTTGGCTAGCAGAAATGTTAGTACATTCACACTAACCTTCCAAAGGCATTAAACAATGATACTATTTCTTGTCTGGTTAAATGAAATTCATAACTTGGTCCACTTTCTGGCATATTTGCAATCAGTTTCTCAGAAAACAAGATCTTCAGGGCAGTGCCCAAACCTTGAGTCTACAATAGAAATAAGAAAAATCATCAGAGTCTTTATGGACAGGATCACTAATAAATAGGGCTGAACTAGATTTCCTTACCTGAAGTTTTCCCCATAGTCGGCATTTAAAACAACCAACACAATCCATAATTCTTGAAATATTTCTAAAATGAAGTCGAAAGTCCTCCTGAAAACAATTGAGAAAAATGGTACTAAAAGGTAATTTAAAGTCAATTCATCTTTTCCAAGGGCCCTCTATATGGCCACACAATGCTAAGTGTTCTGGTGTACCATAAAAGTAGAAGAGAACAAAGCATTTATTTAGTACCTCCTAAACACCAGAATTACTGAGGAGTAGTGGTGTAAATTTACAGACCAAGGTACATACTCTTTCTATTTACTAGCCATGCATCCAAGACCTGGACATTGAATAAGGATAACAGAAAAAGAATTGACATCTTTGAGCTATGGTGTTGGAGAAGAGCACCGGACATCCCATGGACGGCCAAGACTTGGAGAAGGTGCAGTCAGAGTGCCTCTTTGGAGGCAAGAATGATGAGGCTTTGCCTCACATACTTTGGACATACTGCTAGGAGGTACTATTTCTTGGAAAGGGACATGATGCTGGGAAGGGTAGAGGGTCGATGAAACAGAGGAAGACCCTCAACCAGGTGGATTGATATGGTGACTGCTGCAATGGATTCTTTTCTGTCGGGAAGTGTAAGAATGGCACAGGACAGAACAGGGTTCAGACCTTTTTTGTTCATAGAGTTGCTACATTAAGGTATAATAAGGGTCGCTATATTACAGGTAAGCTATATTAAGCTAATTTCACAGGAAAGGAAATGTCTTATCCAGTTTCATACTTGAATTGATAACACCTAACAACAACAACAAACACCATAATATCATTTAATGATATTGTACAAACTATAATATCATTTAATTTTCAAAATTTCATAAGTTGTTAGGTGCCATAGAGTCAACTATGATTCACAGTGATCTTATTATGAACAATGGATCTGAACTCTGTCTATCCTGTACCATCCTTATCATCTCTGCCACACTAAAGTCCATTGTTAGAACGAATCAGTGTCAGTTCATCTTATTAAGGGTCTTCCTCTCCTTTGCTGACTTTCCACTCTCCTGAGCATGATAATCTTTTCCAAAGGACTGGCCCCTCCTAACAACATGCCCAGAGTATGTAAGATGTTGTTTCACCAGTATTTCCTCTAAGGAACACTGTCCAACTTTCAGATATATAGCAAGTAATTGAAAAGACCATGACTTGGATCTGGAGCACCTTAGTCTCTAATAAACTGACATCCTTGCTCTCTAGTACTTTGGAAAGGCTGCAGACTTTCCCAATGCAACATGTCTTTTGATATCCTGACTGCTGAGACCAACGTTCTTGATTGTGGATCTCCAAGTAATATGGCTCTATTGACAATTTTTATCTTTTCTCCATCATAATGTTGGTTATTGGCCCACTGGTGACCATTTTTGTTTCTTGATGTTGAGATGTAATCCATACTGAAGGTTGTAGTCCTTGACTTTCTGCACAAGCACTACAGGTCTTCCTAACTTTCAGCAAGCGATGTTGTGTCATCTGCATGGTGAAGGTTGTTGATAAGCCTTCTTCCAAACCTGATGGCACATTCTTCTTCAGAAAGTCCAGCTTCTCAAATGATTTGTTCAGCATAGGGATTGAATAGGTGCGGAAAATGGTTACAGCCCTTACACACACTTTTTTTTATTTTAAACTACACATTGATCAAAAGCAGACACTTTTATAATAATCTTTACAACAAATTTAAACAAGCAATGCTCTAAGAGTATCCTGGGTTATGTTGTGTTTTTTCTAAAATGCAGTTGGACTTCTAATCCTTATACTTGTAGATACAGTTCTGTTTGGAAATAGGAAATTGTTAACTGAAGCATACCCAAGGCGAGTAGGTTTTAAATCTAATAATTTCTGAGGAGAAGGAACACAAATACACAGGAAGGAGGGAGAAGAAACCATGTGAGAAGTATTTCTACAAGCCAAGGAACCAAGGAGCACCCAGGACTACCAACAAGGACTCCAATGCAGACTCTCCACCTCCAAGAGTGGAAGAAAATAAATTTCTGTTCTTTAAGTTCACCATCTGTCATATCTGTGTTAAAGCAGCAAGAAGAAACAAAGAGAGGCCCGGTACTTGTCTAAGATTCCACTTTAAGTAAGTGACAAACTCAAAATTGAGTTCTGCCAAACGCCAAAGCTAAACTATCTGCAATGTACACAAAGGTTACTGAGTTGAAGTGACTGCGGTATGTGACGATTAACCAACTTTATGTCATATATGTAGTGGGCTCAGGAGGAAGGGCTGGAAAATGTCATTTACCAAAAGAAGAAAAAAACAGAAAATTCTTGTTTTTAATAGCTAAATTAAAAAGCCTTTCTTTCTAGTATTAATTAGGTAAAACAAACAAATATTTAAATATAACAATATTATTATTAACATATAAGTGTGTTAATATTTAATTTAAAATTGAGCATTAATATTCAAGCTGAGTTTAGAAGAGGCAGTGGCACCAGGGATATTATTGCTGATGTCAGATGGATCTTGACTGAAAGTAGAGAATATCAAAAGAATATCTATTTGGATTTCACTGACTACATCTGGAAAGGCAAAGGCATTTGACTGTATGTAGTATAACAATTTAGGGTTGTGAGAAGAATGGAAATTTCAGAACAGTTAATCATGCATATATGAAATCTATACCTAGAAGAAGAAACTGCTATCTGAACAGAGCAAAGAAACATTGCATGGTTTAAAATCAGGAAAAGTATGTATCAGTGTAATATAATTTCTTCCTCTTTATTCAATCTGTGTGCTCAGCAAATAGTTCAAGAAGATGGTTTCATGAAGAAGAGTTTGGCATCAGGATTGATGGAAGGCTCATCAACAAGTTGTGTTATGCAGATGACACAACCTTCCCTGCTAAAGTGAAGAGGATCTGAAGCACTTACTGCAGAGGATCAAGGACTACAGCCTTAACATGGATTACATCTCAACATCAAGAAAATAAAAATCCTCACTACTGAACTAATAGGCAACAACATGATAGAAAAAGATTGAAAATGTCAATGATTTCATCTAACTTAGATCCACAATCAACACCCTCAGTACCACCAGTCAAGAAATCAAAAGACATACTACACTCAGAAAGTTTCCTGTCAGGGACCTCTCTAAAGAGCAATGATGTCAGCTTAAAGATTAAGGGGCACCTGATTCAAGCCACAGTCTTTCCAATCATCTGGTATGCATCTAAGAGCCGGACAATGAATAAGGATAACAGGAGAAGAACAATGCGTTTGAATTGTGGTATTGGAGAACAACGCTGACTCTCCCATGGACTGCCAAACAAACAAACAGCTATAACTTGGAGAAAGTATAAACAAAGTGTTCCTTGCTATTCCTTGAAAAGGGGCATCATGCTTGGAAAGAAAGAGGGTCAGCAAAGGAGTGGAAGACTCTCAAAGAAATGGATGGATGGTGTTTGCTGCAATGGACTCAAATGTGTTGAGAATGATAAGGATAGTGCAGAATAGGACAGATTTCAGCTGTGTCGGTCATGGGGTTGCTATGAGTCATACTTGATCTTGAACTTAACACTAATATGCTTATAAAGATTGGAAGCTTCTAGTTCCAAAATATTATGCATTGGTTTTGCTTTTAGGGGGAAGAAGGTAGGAGGCTTGAGCATTTTATTATGGTTTGAGTGAAGGATTACAGAGCAAACTGATTTCTTATTAAACAATTTATACACATTCTTAACCAAACATTAGTGGCAATCCCCTCAACAAAACAGCATTCTTTCACAGCCTGGGTCCCCCCAGCCCCCATCCGTACCCCTCCTTTCCATTTATCCTTCTTTTCTGCCCCCTCCTGCCTCCTAAACTTTTTTTTTTTAGCAACTGCTATCCTTTTGCTTTCCTGTGTCTGAGTGTTCTCACAAGTATTGTTTATTCACCTGAAGGCCTATTATTTGGCTGAAAAATTATCCCAGAAGTAGGTTCAATTCCAGGTTTAGAAGTGCAAATTTCTAGGGCCATGGTTTCAGGGATCCAAGCAGTAACTTCAACCTCTTTTATTATTTCCGATTTTGTTCTATTTCCCCCCCCTACTTTGTCCAGGGCCTTCTTTTGTGGTACTGATCAAAGCAGTAGACGGTAGTAGCTGAGTACAACCTAGTTCTTTTTATCTCACTTAGTGGAAGTTTTGATTTGCATGGTCCTTTAATCCTTTGGACTAATAGTTTCCTTGACTCCTTGATTTTCTTTACAGATCATATTTTTGTAGAAATCACCTACATTCAGAATTAAATCAATGTTTGTTGATCCAAGTGTTTTAATATGGAAGCTCTTCATCAAATCACTTTATGTGATATAAACGGAGGAAGCATGGTTGGTGATGACAGACAACGTTATATACTGCAAGATTAAAATGAAGCACATGAAATAGCATGCATCTTCCTGCTTAGCAGAATTTCGGAGGCTAGAACAAAATTAGGTGGTGGCTTAATGGTAAGGAGATGAGTTGCCAACCCAAAGGCAAGCAATTCAAATTTACCAATTCTCCTCCAATTTCTCCTCCAGGGGCAGAAGATGGAAAATTTCCTCCCCTTTGATGTAGCCTCGAAACACCTGCTGAAAAGGGTCAGCTTTGAGTGGGTTCTAACTAGATAGTACACAACAACAAGAATAGAAGAAAATTAATAGAGTAGAAAGCTAGCACATCAAGACAGGAGAAAAAATCATTGACTCTTCAAAATAATAGTCAATAGCCTGTAACCTGACATTTTAGAACATATTTCAAAATTATCTCTTATTATAAAGTTTCATAGTTCTTAAAATAACCAGAATTCAAAGTACTTATGAATTCTCCTTAGTTAAGTATACAGTTATTTTTAGAGTTATAGTTAGTGGGTAGAACAATTAAACATACTAAGATTTATATTAAGTAAACCAACAGATAAAAAAATAGCTATCACTCAATTCTTATTATATTTTTATTTGAGCAATTTCTTTTTCTGTTAAGTCCTTCATTCCTCACAACAAAGTATAAAAGAGACAAGATGATATTTTAAAATTAATTCATAAATGTGACTGTTCAAACACCATTATGTTTACAGAAGTAATACATTTTCTTTTTTAAAAAGGAAAGCTCTAATATTAACATGTTTTAGATTTTTAATTTTTCCTTATAAAGGAATTTATAGTGGTATCTCTGTTCAACGATTCTCTAAACTTCAGAGGACATCAAAGCCAAAAGTTTCAGAGTTTTGATAAAACTAAAATATTGTCAGAAAATTTCTAATCTGCATGATATAAAAAGAGCTGAGACTAAAACATTTCTATAAATTGGCATGTGAACTAAAAATGAGGAAACTGAAAATAGTAGAAGAAAAAGAAGTCTTACTGAAGGACCTTCTCCCTCACTTGACCCTTCAAGTTCCTAAAATTTGAGAACTGTTTGGAAAGTTATATAAACCTTGAGGATTGTATTTCTAGTATGAATACTTCTAAGGAGGTATAAGCTTAGGGGTAAATAACTATTACCTACAAAAAAAAATCAGAAGGAATTTTATTTGCAAAACACATAAATCAAGTTATTTCACTATGCAAAGAAACAAAAAGTAAAAAATAGAATATTGGTTGTTATAAGGATTATGATGAAATTAAATCAAGTCTAATGTTACTGAAGGCATCATGCCTTTACTAACCAATTGTTCAGAACAGAGAACAGAAATATAATTTTATTTGAGTTCCAAACTCTTAGAAATCTCTTGAAGATAGGAACAATCTCTTGTTGATTGTTGAAACAATCTCTTGTTTCTCCTATTAATGACAAGAATAATTCTCTGCACAAAGTGAACACTTAAAAAATATTTATATTCTTAGTAATGATTTCCTAATGTTTTGGGGGCAAATACATAAACTTATAGACAGAACTGTTAAACTCATTCACCCATGAAAAGGTAAGATCAAAATGTGGTCCTGCTCCCTGAGGTACCTTGTTTTCTCTGTTCTTTCCACAACTTCATGCTATTCCTAAATTCCTTGCTTTCTTAGTAAATATGATGACAAAACATTATACTGTCCATTTCACTCCTAACTAAAAAAAAAAAAAAAAAAGAAGAATACTGCTACTTATTTTTTAGATTAATTTATAACCTCTATTGAATGACCCAGGAAGCATCAAAAGAAAACAGAAAGAATACAGTGAGTCACTGTACCAAAAAGAAATGGTGGAGACAGAACATTTCAGGAAGTTGTATATGGTCAATCAAGAACCAATGATGATGGAGGGGGAGAAAAGATCAAGCTGCACTGAAGAAATCAGCAAAAAAATAAAGCCTCAGAAATCAGTGGAATACCAATTCACATGTTTCAAGAAAGGGATGTAGCCCTAGAACTGCACCTGGCCAATTGATTGGAAGAGATTCATATTAGATCTAGATTTTGGTGGTTTTTTCTAAAAGAAAAGGTGATTAAACAGAATGTGGAAATTACTGAATAAAATTATTAGTATCACATGCAAATAAAGTCTCACTAAAGATTATTCAAAATCGTCAGTAAATCAACAGAGAACTGCCAGAAGTTCTCTCTGGATTTATAAGAAGCTATTGTACCAGAGCTATCTTGTCAGCACATAATGTAAACATTAGCCAGGCTGTCAGCCAAGATGTAAATCTTCATGAGACCATGTCGCTGTGTCCCAGTGATTCAATTAGAAGAGATCCACTAGCAAAGACTTCACAGCCACAAGAACCATTTCTGCAATTAAATTCTCCTACCACCAATTCAGAGCAGATTCTAACTGGGGTCGGATCTTAGCGGAAAGCAGAGAATACCAGAAGGATGTCTCTCTGTGTTTTATTGACAATTGAAAGGCATTTGCCTGAGTAGATCATAACAGTTATAGCTGATATTGAGAAGAATGGGAATCAAAAAACATTTAATTGTGTTCATGCAAAATCTATACTGAGATCAAAAAGCCACTCTACAAACAGAGCCAGGGAATACCGCATTGTTTAAGTGTGCCTCAGGGCTGTATACTCTCTCCATATCTATTCAATCTGTATGCAGAATAAATTCTTCAAGGAGTTGAACTAAATGAAGAAGAATATGGCATCAGGATTGGAGAAAGGCTCACTAACAACCTGCACTATATAAATGACACAACCTTGCTTGCTGAAAGTGAGGAGGACTTGAAATACTTGCTGCAGAGGATCAAAGGCTACAGCCTTTATTATGAATTACATCTCAACATCAAGGAAAAAAAAACCCTTTACTACCAGACCTATAGGCAACATCATGATAGATGCAAAAATGATAGAAACTGTCAATTATTTCATCTTACTTGGATCCACAATCAACACTCTTGGCACTAGCAGTCAGGAAATCAAAAGATGTATTATGCTTTTCCAGTCTGCTCTCAGGGACTTCTCCAAAGTACTGAAAAGCAATAATGCCAGTTTGAAGAGTAAGTTATACCTGATCCAAATCATAATATTTTCTGTTATTTGCTATGCAGCTGAAAGCTGGCTAATACAGATGACAGAAGAAGAATCTATGTCTTTGATTTGTGATGCTAGAAAAGAGTGCTGAATATCCCATGGATTACCAAAAAGGAGGAAAAAATCAGTCTTGGAAAAGTTGCAGCCAGAGTGTTCCTTGGAGCCAAGGATGGAGAAACGTCATCTCATATACTTTGGGCATGGTGGACTCTTATGGCATTAGCCATAATAACACTGGACTTTCTTTTCTCCTTGAGGAAAAGAGCACTTATGATTCTATAGAGTATACATTAGTATACTAATAAGTTCAGATAAGTATAAAAACATGGGATTATAGTCATACTTAGTTATGAATTCTACTTAAGCATTCAATACTTTGTACCTAAAAATTAAATTGTAAAATAATTACCTTGAGTTTGTTTGCTTCTTTTTTATCCCCAGCAAAAAATGAATTCTCATCAAAATGCAAAGGAAATGATCTGCATTTTAAAATACAAAATATTCCATTTCATTGATTTTAAATTATTAAGAAAAAGTACAATAGAACAAATATTCTAATTGTAAAACAAATTCTTATCCTTAAATCTAAAAACTAAATCACACACTATATAATAGTTTGGCCCCAAATCCAAATAAAAAATAATACAAGTTTCAGGCAGTAAAAGAATAGCATTTAATATATAGCTCTGAAAATATGTACCAGTTAGTACCAAAACCAAAAAAAACCCTAAGATATCCTACATTTTCAAACACCTATAAACAAAAATAACACAATTATTTGTTTTCTTTCTCAAAAATGGCACTTAAAAAATTTAATTTTTAATAATACTTGTCAATCTTTTATTACTATACAAATTATAGAATATAATTTACTTGACTTCATGAAGTATATCCAGAAGTAACATTTTATTTTCCACATCCTGAACTTTATTTCCAGTGAAGAGTTGAAAATCTGGGCGCTCAAAGAACGGTAACACCTTAGACAAAGCCCTTAATTCAATTAAATAGAGAAAGTACAAGTTCTTAAGCCTCCTTGGGCCTTCTCCTTCAGTTAAAATTCCATCAAATCGTTGTTGAAATTCTGTAATGTTATGTCCCCATTTCTTTTCCAACCATGTATCTAGGAAGAAAGAAGAATTAAACAATGAAGTTTGAAACGGATTCATTTCTATTATAAGTTATTGCTAAGGACCCCTGGAATTGTGCTGTGGTGGCATTGTCTGTAAAGATTTGTACTGTTATCTAAAGGCAGAACTTTCTCTGGGAGTTTGGAACCACGAGCAGCTCCATGTGAGAAAGATGGACAATCTCCTCCCATGTAATTTACGGCCTTAGAACACTTGCAGGAGGTTCTCAATGGCAAAGAGAACTAGTAGTGTAGTGGATAATGTGGTCAGCTGCTAATCTAAAGAACAGCAGTTCAAACCCACCAGTTGCTCTGTAGGAAAAAAGATGGACAGTCTCCTTCTGTAAAGATTTCCAGCCTCAGAAATCTGATGGAGCGTCTCAATGCATCAGAATTGACTCAACAGTAGTGATTAGACAGGTTATTTATATCTACAGAAGTTAATTTTCATTTTTCATCCAAAGAAATATAATAATCATGATAACTTTAAAAAAAAAATTATCCTTTAATATCCCATATTCATTGTCATCTTCCATAAAATAAATTCAAAGTTTCACTGAAAGACTAGATTTCAAAAAAATCATAGATCTAAATACGAGCATAGTCACAAAACTAAAATATACAACTAAAAAATGGTCTAAAATTACTAATGAGTTTGAAGCTCTATTTAAAATGAAAGCTACTAAAAAAAATAAAATAAAATGAAAGCTACTATATATGTTGTTTCTAAGACATAAGAGATACTTTAAATCAAAAGTTCTATGTTCCTGGAGAAACCTGACCATGGTTACATTTGTAATCACATTCTCAAAGCAAAAAAGACAGCAGGAAATATTTTGATCCATTCAAACTCTCAGCTAAAACTGGTGCAAATGTAAAAGTGTAACAATACAATAATATTGAACTAATAACAAACTCTGACATTGGGAGTTACTTTAATTCCAAAACAAAATAAAAGGATAGTTTTCAATATTATTTGTACAAGCACAAGCAACTCATAAAAGGAGAAAGAAGAACATAGGAAACTATTCATAATAGTAGCTACAGTCTTGATCCATTTAAAGATCATTACCTAAAACTAGACATCCACCTGCAGAAAAAAACTTAAACAGGAGCACATCTCACCCCATACACAAAAATCAATTCAAGGTCACCTAGGGCAGAACTCAAACCCATAGATCCTAAGAGACAAAGAATGACCAAACATAGACATCCTAACCTATGGCAACAACGGGCTTGCAAATATAGCCAGAAATGAACAACCAAGAGAGGATAAAATTGATGAATGGGACCTTCTAAAAATCAAGTCCCCATGTTCATCCAAATTTTTATCCAAAAGAGAGAAAATAAAGCCTACAGACAGAGGAAAAGCATTGGGCAATGACATCTCAGACAAGAGTCTCATAATGAAAGTTTGCAGACTATAGGGCCTCCACAAGAAAAAGACTGATAACCCAATAACAAAACGGGCAAAAGACATAAAGAGATTCTTCACAAAGGCAGACATTAGGATGGCAAACAGACCCATGAAAAAAAATGTTCTAATTCAATGACAATCAGAGAGATGCAAATCAAAACCACAGTGAGATACCACCTCACCCCAATAGCAGTAGCAATGTTTAACAGGACATTAAGCAATAAATGTTGGAGAGGATGTGGAGAGATTGGAACTCTCATGCACTGTTGATGGGATTGTAAAATGGTACAAACATTCTGGAAGGAGTTTGGCATTTTCTCAAAAAGCAGAACATAGAAGATAATTTTTTTCCTATTAAATAAATACTAAGAACTTTCAAGAATGCCTGAAAATGAGTGTGGCAAAGTGAACAAAAATTAATGTCACATACCTTGTAAAAGATACCTGGCACTCAGATGCACGTTAATGCTTGCATGTAGACCAGATATGAGTCTGTAGAATGCTCTCTTTTCTACACAAAGACCTAAATAAGAATTTGGAAAAAAGATATTTCATATGTGAAACATGTAAGGTAAAAAAATTCATCTCATGGCTCTTTGGAAACAAGAATATAAAATTTATCATTTAAATTTTTTAAAGTTTTCAGTTACCTTCTAGCCAACTGTAAAAAGTGTTTTCTGAAATAAAAAGAAAAAGAAGTCAGGATTGTCAAAATATATAAGTGCCTCAAAAGTTTTAAAATACTATGTTAAATGTGTACTAAAAAGTAATAGGAAGACTACCTAACCAAAAATTCAAATCTTATTTGCAATTTTCCAAAGGAAGAAGAAAAGTTCTTGATATGGATTCAATTAGGTACTACTCTGTGCTGTTAATTTTTAAAAGGCTTTTAGCACTGTTTCAGTGTCACAACCTTCTGGATAAAATGTTTTATATAAGATCAAAACATAGAATTTAAGTAGTAAATCAGTACATGGAAAATTGCCTAGCATTAATAACAATCCATGTGAAAATTAAGAATCTGTTAAAGGTATTATAAAATAGAAAAATAAAAACTGTAAAGTTGCACTGGAAGTCTATCTGTACATAGCTGATAGTATTATATATCATTTATTATTTCAAAAGAATAATTAAGGGAAATATACCATTTATATTCTATGACCACCAACAATCACAGTTCATAAATTTAGACTAAATAACTCTCCTTTTACGATTATGTTACAAAGAGATAAAACAAATGGAAGGAGAAGTAATTTTAATTAAGATAAAACATTTTTCAAATGACAGCAATAATGCCCAAGTTAACATGGTTGTTGTGCTGGTTGTTTTGTGCCATCAACTTGGAACCAATCTATAGCTGACCCTTCAGAGGGTTTTCAGAAGCAGTCAATCACACATGAGGAGACTGCCTATTCTTCTCCCACAAAACAACTGGTGATTTTGAACCTTGTGCCAGTTAACATAAGTGCCAGTTAACCTACTATAATAACCAGTTAACATGACAGAGTACTGTATAACTAGTTTATAGAACACTATACAACAATTAAAACAATATGAAATGTGACAATACAAGAAAATGCCTGTTTAAAAAAAAAAAAGAAAATGCCTGTTTGAAATAATTTTATATCAAATCATTATTATAACTATGTAAAATGTATGCATTTGCTACAGATACAAATACATTGATTTTGTTCTTTTGACTAAAGTTGCTTATTATGATATTAAAAATGAAACAAATAATCATTAAAGTAGAAGAAGGAATGAAAAATAAAAATCATAAGCTCAACACACTAAAATCTATTTGGAACTTCATAAACAAAACAGAATGAAAAAACAAATTTAAAAAAAAAAAAAGCAAACCCAAAATGAATAAAAACACATTACAAATACAGCAAAGGGATGATATCCTTAATATGGGGGTGGGGGAACTCTGAATAAAAATTATAAAGTGCCCACTAAAAAGGCCAAATATCACAAATGAAAAACTACAAATGAGAATAACATCAAAATTGTCTGAGTTCATTAACAAAAGTTAAAATAAGATATTTTTATCTATTAAATTAGTTAGGATAAACATGTTGACAAAGGTTAAGGGATGCACAGCAGCCTTGCATGTTTCAGATTAAAGAACTAAAGGATTTTCGATGCTATGATCATTGCAGAGACTGCCAGCCTTTCTTCTGGGTCAAGACAACTATACCATCCTAGCTCCCAAGCTGAGTGAGCCTTAACTACTTGCACTACCAAGGACTCTTTGACCATACCCAGCTGCCAACCCTGGAACTCAGCTAGGAGGAAAAGAGGACAAAGTTTCTCCTGAAGAGGCCAGACAAAATGGCTAACTTTTAGAATGTCTGATCATCTTGTCAGAGAGGCTGACACAGCCTGCCTCTAGAACCTGAGCCCAGGCAGTCATTACCCCCCAAACATGTTCGTTCACCCCCAGGCTTTGAGATAAATAAAAGTTAAGTTCTTCCTATTCTGAGAAACAGGGAAAGAAATAAAACTTTCCACTAAAAAAACTACCACTAAATTAATTTTTAAAAATATATGATACAAACTTCTACTCACCTTCATTTTTTCCTGGAAAAGAAAACAAAATCCTTATTATAAACTCCTTCCAAATGTACCTTTTAACATATTACACTTCCATAAAAATAAGATTCTTTTAATACTAGTTCATTTTAGACCATCAGGTCATCTCCATAAGCAAAATCTTAGCGTGAGATCTTTGAGTTGCAATTTGAATTCTGCCTGATTTAAGTAAATGCATTATTTCCTGAAGCCTTGATGAATAAGTTTCAACTCACATAAGGTCTAACATGGGCTTACAGGAGAGAAAAACAAAATCCATCATCTAAAAGTATTATTAAATATCTTAGCAATTTAATGTTATTTGCCTGGCAACTAGTCACACTTATTTATCCTAAGGCTTAACAGTTTCTGTCAAAGATAATGTGTTACTGCTTTTATATCTCCAGATTGGCATTATAGGATTTAATCTCATTTAGGAATTTAATGTAAAATTCTAACTTTGCACAATGAAACAATTTCTATTTATTGCTGAAAAACTGTCTTCATTCCATCTGTTTTTCTTTAATCTGATCACTGTAGAATAATACATGCTCATTGCAAATATGTTTAAAAATTATGAAGAAATAAAAAAATCATCTATAACTCCTTTTCCCCCCAAATCAAACATCATTAACATTTTTGGTAAACTTCCTTTTTAGCATACATTTAAGTGTCACATTACGTTTTCACAAAAATATTACGTATACACTCAAAACCCACTTTTTAGTCCAATGTACTATTAATTCCTTTTGTTGTAAATCCATATAAATTTACAGTAACAGCTGTAAGTGGCTTTATCCTACCATGTGAATATTATCATTTAAGATTGAAAAATATCTAGATTGTTCCAATTTACCTTTATGGTAATTGAGAGTGGCTAAATAATCAACTTATAATGTGAATTCACATGAAGATCATCTCTTGTCTACAGCATTTCATCTGATAATAAATCAAAGCTGAGGCAACCCATGTGATTTCTTAAAAATCAAAGAGCCTGGTTTAAAGATGTTCTTTCTTTTCTAATCTAAGACACACTTGTCTGCCAGGATTCAGGGGATGATGTAATTGCATCACTTTCCAGAAGGACTTTTATATTTATTGACTGTATGAGATCAGCATCTCTTCAAATAAAATTTTAAAATAAAAACCTTATACATTTGCTGAAAGTACATCAAAGATCTAATCAGTAAGTACATATTTAAAGAGAACATGAATACTTATTCCCTAAGGGAACAGGGTGAAATCATACGATAATCTATTCAATAAATGCTTTTCCTCTCAGGGGTTAAGCAAGATTTTAGAGTTTTAATTATATGCATCCTTTAAAGGAGCCCTGTTGGTTAACAACAGTTAAGTGCTCAGTTGATAACCAAAAGGTTAGTGGTTCAACCAACCAGCTGCTGCACTGGAAGAAGATGTGGCAAGATGATTCGGTAGATATTACAATCTTGAAAACATGATAGGACAATCCTATCCCGTCCTCTACAGCTATTATGAGTCAGAATCAACTCAACTGCAGTGGGTTGCGTTTGGTGTGGCACCTATCTAAGGTCAACAGTTTGGGTTTACGGAACCTAAGAGGGCAGTAGTAAGCCAGCAAAGACTTCTTTGCCTTTTACACTAAAGCCTTGGACTCAATTCCTAAGTGATACACCTCATTCACATCTACCACTTGTCTGTCAATGGACATATTTAGTCAGACTCTAGGCTAAAGCAGATTAAGAAGAAAGACTTCCAGGCTTACTAACAAAAATGAGTCAATGAAAGCTCTAGGGATGATGACCTAGTCAGATTACCCTGCACAGGGCATCACCATGACTCGAGCCAACTCAACAGCAGGTAACCACAGCAGCATGGCACCTAACCTAGTCTACTCCAGGCAAAAGGACACACTACCTGGCCCTGTGCCATCAACATGGTCAGCTGCACACTGAACAAATGTGATGACCAAACCTTTTCTCCAGAACAGTGACTAACCCCCTTCCACCACCACCACCACCACCCCCATCCCCTGCCCCAATAAAGACCTCAATCTCATTGGTGGTGAGTCAGGACCAATTCACAGTTGACCTTTGAGCAGGTTTTTGAGGCTGTAAATTGCACAAGATGAGACTGCCCATCTTTCTCCCTTGGTGGATTCAAACCACCTACAGGCACTTCCTTCAGGTTAGTGGTGAACTCCTTACAGACAACCTAACCAGAGCTCCCTAAACTGTGCCAAATACACAGTAAATAGTACAGCATACCCATTTGCTGAATGAATACATGCTTTTCATTACTGTGGACAAGACCATTAAGCAAAGAGCATGATTAATATTGACCATTTATCCAACAAACTCCTCCATGATTAGCTCTGTACTAAGAGATGAAACAGAAAAAATGTTGCCCTATGGTAAAGGAATAGCTATACAGCAATAAAAATAATAACAATGGTAGGCCATGGGAAAGGCAAAAAGAAACAATTTAAGACTAGTTCAGGAACAAGGGGAGATGACTTCCAGTTAGGAAGATCAAGAATAGCTCTGAGATGAGACACTGCATATAAGACAAACATTGAAATGTTACCAAAAAATGAAAAATGTTTATTACATATATAGATGTATGGATTTCAAACCAAAATCACAGTAAATGTAACTCATGTTGTGGGGAATATTTTTAATCAGCGATATTTGGATATTTTTTTAATTGGATAACTAAAAATAGCAGGAGAGGGGAAAGGAACATACACGTTCGTTTGTTTAAAATGGGTTAAAAAATAAATATATATCCCTAAAGTTCATGCAATTATAATCTAATACATAGTATGTCTACAAAAATATTCATTCTTAAAATATAAATATTTTAATCACCTATTTATCTTTAGGAGTGAGACATTATTTCTGCGGAAACAGGAGATAGTAGATTATATCAGCCCAAGTGCTTTTGCAAACCTTTTAATTTGCATTCATTCCCTTTCCTTCTAACCAAAGTTCACTGGCTGATAAATAATAAATGGTAAAATTAAACAACTCACCTTGACCAGAAGCTAACGGATTTAACGGCCTTTTAATTGTCTGTGGCCTAGAAATAAAAGAAAGTATAAAACATCATTGTTACCAATCACACTATAACTATTTAAGCTAAAGTGAAATTATCTCAAAAAGCTGCTTTCTGACTACTTCCTTCCATAATCTACTTAAATTTGTTTAAACTTTCATTTTTCTCTAATTGTTTTAAAGGAGAGTGATTGGTATTTGAGTTAGAGAAAACAGCCCCTAATTTTTTCCCACTGCAGCAGCCAGTAGATCAATTCCTAATTAAGTCTTCAAACAAATGGGAGGGGGGAAAATCAGTCACACGTCTAGCCTAGAGAGAGCACGTGCCTGCGTGCGCACACGTGTGTGTGTGTGTGTGTGTGTGTGTGTGTGTGTGTGTGTGTGTGTTGGGGTAGAGGGCAGGAGTCAGAGGGTGCCACAGGCTGCATGACTAGACAAAAGGTAAGCTAAATAAATAACAACAAATGAGAGTGGTAATTGGGCTCTGCTACAGAGAAGGTCATGGTGACAAAAATTAATGCATGAGAGGCGAGCAAACACAAAAGTAAAACTACTCAACAGAAGCAATAAAACAGAAGGGGCAAAGCATGAACATTTTAAAATGTAGGCAGATTATTTTCCACCTAGATAATTTTAGATCCATCAATTTACCGTGTGTCCATCAAGTTTGTTAGGATCTAAAGAGAAAAAAGTCAGACGTTTTCTGGAGTGTTATTAAGTTCGGGGCGGGGAGGCGGGCGCACAGAACTCTCAAACTCACTGCTGTTGAGTTGGTTCTGACTCACAGTGACCCTCCACTGGGATCCTGAGACTGAAAATCCTAACTGGAGGGGACTGCCCATTTTCCTCCCTCGGAGCTGCTTGTTGATGACAGCGTTGATGACAACAAGGTCTTCTGTTTAACAGTGCAACTCCCTATGTACTATGCCACCAGTATTTTCAAATCCCAAAATAAGCATTAGTACTAGTAAAGTGCAGGTTTGTTTTAATGTCATAATTAAAAGATCTGTACAACGTATGGCCTCGAGGTAAAGTTGCATGTCAACCCAGAGGCATGAGGTTTGATGTCACCAGCTGCTCCACCAGAGAAGGATAGGCAATCTCCTCCCATACAATTTATAGCCTCTGAAAACCCTGAAAACCCACTGGAGGGTCAGCTATGAGTTGGTCCCAATTCAATGGAAGATAACAACAAAAACAGTCCATACTAAAAAAAAAAAAAGAAATATACTATATTTTGACACATTCAGTGTCATTTATTGTTTTATTTACTGTTTATGTGAAATTAGAATCGTGATATAAATCAGTTATAATTTTAAACTAATATAATTTGAATCAATACTTCCCCTGCATTCTTTTCATGCAATTTAAAAACATAACCAACAAAATTCTTTAAAGTAAGCTACTGTAACCAAACATTCCAAATAAGATTCAAAGGAACTTAAGTAAAATACATAGGGGGGGGGGAAATGAATAAAATAGGATTATAGTGAAAATTCCAGTTCCCAAACTGGAAAAGTTCAAGTTGGGGGTGGGGAGGAGGGCTGGTATAATTAACATTCTGCTGTTATTAACATAATCACTGCTATGCTTTAGTTGACTTACAAAAAAGTGCAGTTTATTCTCCCCATATCTAGGATGCCAAAGATTTTTTCCCAGAATCTACCCCCAGGGTCTGAGATAGCATAACACAGAGACACACACACACAAATATAATTCCAAAACAGAGCCAAGAGGCTCACAAGTGGGCAATGTGAAGCATTTTCTCAATCACCCAGAGATTAGCTTAACTGCTTTAATTATTTTCGTTAAGACAGCAACGCTGAGGTCTTCCACTTCCCAAGAAGTACAGAACATTAAAAAAAAGAGAATTAAGAGATGACGATTTTCAATACATACCTGACACTAACTACCATATTTTTCACATTTAATGTACCTACATAAATAGCTGATACACAAGTATGGCATGCATAATGTGCACAGAAAACTAATACTGAGGTAATGAGTTTTGAATAAAATGGTATACTGTTGTCACTGTTAGGTTCAATTGAGTCAAGTACAACCCATAGCGACCCTATGAACAACAGATCTGAACCCTGTCCTAGTCTGTGCCATCCTCATACTTCCTGACACAGTAGAGCCCATTTCAGTAGTCACTATGTCATATACCTGGTTGAAGGTCTTCCTCTTCTCCTCCAACCCTCTGCTTTTCTTAGCTTCATGTCCCTCTCCAAGGAATAGCCCCTCCTAGCGACATGCCCAAAGTATATGAGGTAAAGCTTTATCATCTTTGCCTCCAAAGAGCACTCTGGATGTACCTTCTCCAAGACATATTTTTTGCTCTTTCGGCAGTCCATGGGCTGTTCAGTGCTCTTCTCCAACACCACAACACAAAAGCATCAATTCTTCTTCTATCATCTTTATACAGCTCTCAGATGCATAGCAAGTGATCAGAAAGACCAAGGCCTGAATCAAATGCACCGTAATTCTCAAATTGACATCATTACTCCACAACAACATAAGTGCACAGAAAACTAACACTAGGCGTAATATACTTTGAATAAACTGGGATATGGTCTTAAGAAATTAAACTAATCTCTTTGACTCGATAAAAAAAAAAGCTTCTATAATCTACTTAAGGAACATTTGTGAAGTGCCTATGGTATTCCCAGGAAGGACTAAAATTCTAAATCTTTAAAATGGAAGAATTTTTGTTGAAGCTCATTTCTAGAGTTGTGATCAAATCAGAATGGAAGTGGACTAATGAAAAAGGAGCTCTGGTGGCAAAGTGGTAAGGAGTTGTGCAGCCAATTCAAAGGCCAGCAATTCAAATCCACTAGCTGCTCTGTGGAAGAAAGATGGGCAATCTCCTCCCGTGTGATATATAGCCTCTGAAAACTGGAGGGTGACTTATGAGTCAGTTACAACTTGAAGGTGCATTACAGCAACAACAATGAACAAATACATCCATTAACATGTTGCCGCACACTTTTAAATCGATGACCGTTCTTAGAAACACTTTTTTTATCGCTGTAGCCATCATTTGCGGCAACGTGTTAACTGAGTACATTTTATTTAAATGTATAACCATTATGATTGTGTTGATATTTTTATGAAGAGAAAGTCTACATCTTACAGGAATCTCTAAATGGAAATGGCACATACTTGAAACAGTTTTCTTCATAGATGACATTCCATATCTTCCAAGCATCTGGTCCCTTGTATCCTGTGTAGCGCTCAGGATTAAGGAGCAAATCCACATACTCAGCATCAGGTGAATGAATGTCTGCAAAATGAAATGTTTTCTTGAATATTTTCTTTCTTCAGTTTTCTTTAAAAGCTATGAATTCTATAGGTCCACAAAAGCAACAATGCACCAAGTATTTTAAAACAACTTTCATAAAAAGGGAAAAAGAAGAACAAACAGAATCACACTCTGATCACAAAAGTATCCTGATTTTAGAAATAATAAAATATAAAAATACATGACTGTTAGAAGCAAAAAATCATGGTAATTCAATTCTTATAAACTGGCCAGACAAACAATACACATTTCTTTCCATCATTAAGTACATGCATCAACATCTAAAGTGAATGAAGGTGTATTAGAACCATTTCTATAGCTTGCAATGCAATGTTTCCTTCCTAGATGACCATCATCAGGATCCTCAGCTGTCCCGAGTATGCAAATGCACATATCCAGGATGGTAGTTGTATGGAGGAAACTGGAAGCATGGGGGTTGCAGGTCATGGGCTCTGGAGCCAGACTACTTGGATTAAGATCCTTAAACAACTTATGTAAGTTCTCTATGCCTTCTCTAGTCATCATTTAAAAAATGGTGGTGCTATTCATAGTTTTACTTTTAAAAAAGAAATCTATACTTGGCTATTTTTCTTCCCATTCTCATTATATTAGAGGTATAAGTAAGGTGAAAAGTTGCTTCTAGAACAGCACATAGAACATACAGAAACTAAAAGAGAACCCAACACAGAAGCAACAAATTAAAAAATATTAACATAGAATCATCTAGTTCAGACACAGCACTGTTCACCTCACTTACTGTTTAATGTGATGTCATGGTATAACAAATTATAATTAATCCAGAAAAAAAAACGGAGTTTTAAAATTTATAAATAATGTTCAGTCTGTAATAATTCAAGAAAGAAAACAACTAAAAAAATAATTAAATTTCTTAATATTTTAATTAATCAAAGAAGTAAACAGTTTGTGCCACATAATCTTATTTAAGACAAATGCATCACCTCTCCATAATTTTTAAAATAAAATGTTGCTTTAAATCTTTATTTTGCTATATGACAAAGCTCTTATTTCTATTAGGACTCATAAAATATTATGCAAAGGTATTTGACTGTGTGGATCATAACAAACTGGCTGACTCTGAGAAGAATGGGAATCCCAGAACATTTAATTGTGCTAATACGAAACCTATACTTGGACCAAGAGGCAGTAGTCAGAATAGAGCAGGGTAACACTGCTTGGTTCAAAATTGGGAAGGGTGTACGCCAGGGATGCATGCTGTCTCCATACCTTTTCAACATGTATGCAGAGCAGATTATCCGAGAGGCTGGGCTCTATGAGGATAATCGTGGCATCAGGATTGGTGGAAGATCTATTAACAATCTGCGTTACGCAGGTGACACAACCCTGCTTGCTGAAACTGAGGAGGACCTCATGCACTTGCTGCGAAGGGTCAAGGACTGCAGCCTTCAGTATGGACTGAGGCTCAATGTCAAGAAGACAAAGATTCTCACCACTGGACCAATTGGCAGCGTCAGGATGGATGGCGAAGAGATTGAGATTGTTCACAGCTTCAGTTTGCTCGGCTCCACAGTCAACACTCTTGGCACCAGCAGTCAGGAAATCAAAAAGCATATCGCGATGGGAAAGTCTGCTGTTAGGGACCTCTCTAAAGTACTCAGGAGCAACGGTGTCTCTCTGGAGACTAAGGTGCGCCTGATACAGGCCATGGTCTTTGCAATCGCTTGTTATGCATCAGAGAGTTGGACAATGACTAGGGAGGACAGAAGGAGAGTGGATGCTTTTGAGCTGTGGTGCTGGAGAAGAGTACTGAATGTACCATGGACTGCCAGGAAAACAAACAGATTCATCTTGGAGAGGATTAAACTATGCTACTCCTTGGAGGCAAGGATTCTGGGGCTTCGTCTGACATTCTTTGGACATGTTGCCAGGAGGGATGGGTCCTTGGAGAGGGACATCATGCTTGGGAGGGTGGAGGGACAGCGCAGGAGGGGAAGACCCTCTATGAGATGGATTGATTCGGTGACTGGGGTAATCGGGATGGGTGTGTCAGAGGCAGTGCGGTTGGCGCGGGATAGAGCAGGGTTTGGGGCTGTTGTGCATAGGGTCGCTATGAGTCACAAACGACTCGATGGCACATAACAACAAACAACAACAAGAAAAAATCTGTTAAATATACTCTACATTCCTTCTTTCTTTAACTAGAGAAACAGTTACAAATGAACAAATGATTCACCAAAAATAACAAAACACCAGTTCGGAAGTGAAGTACTGATTCTCAGTCCGTGTTATCCAAATGCAATCATGCAATCTGAAGAGGATACTTTATTAATATAAAATCTTATCATTATTTTCATTAACATGACGGATGTAAAATATTTTCTGATGTTATAAATTTAATTTTCTTTCATATAAAAATGTCTAAGTCCATTTAAGCCTAGCAATGGATGGCTGGAGACAAGATGACCAGAACCCAACCAGATGAAGAGAGGATGATCATGCTACTTATAGTAGCTAAGTTCAAGAGAGCAGCAAACAGCAAATGCTGGCAAGATGGTGGAGAGATTGGAGCTCCTATTCACTGTTGGTGAGAATGTAAAATGATGCAACCACTACGGAAGGTGGTCTGATTTTCACAAAGTTGGAAACAGAAATGCCATTTGACCCAGCAATTGCTCTACAGGGAATACACCCTAAAGAAAGCAGAGCTATCACTCAAACAGACATATGCACACTCATGTTTATTGCTGCATTATTCACAATGGCAAAGTGATGGAAGCAACCCAAGTGCTCATCAATTTATGAATGGATTAAAAAACTACAGTACATTTACACAATTGAATACTATGCAACAATGAAAAACAGCAAACTCGTAAAACATTACACAACATGGGTGAAATATCTCGATCACAAAATACGGCATAATGCCACTAATATAGCAGGAAAGATATGGAGGGTTGGGGGAAGAATAGGAAAAGAGTGGATAGATAATGAGCACTGCTTTGGAACAGATGAGGGAAAGAACTGTTTAAAAGGAATATATGAATGACAATAATATATGAATATATATTGGACAATATATGAATGAATATATGTATGATAACAATCCAGAATAAGAAATGTACTACTGCAAAGTGGATTTGGGGAGGGTAAACAGTGGGGACAAGAGGAAATTGTGCAAAAATGAATGAATGAAAATCCAACTTTTCTGTAAACGTTCATTAAAATCACAATAAAATAAATTTTTTTAAAAAATGCGATCCACGCTGTGAGCTAGAGTAGACTGCTGCAACCTGATGGATTGCTCTGAACTGGACTTTACTTGTGGATTCAGATGCTCAAGTTGGACAGAAAATCCTTCAGCAAAAGAGGCATGCTTGTTTCCTCAGAGTATTGGTTTAATGTTGTTGTTGATTACCTTTGAGTCAAGCACGACTCATAGTGACCCTATGAATAAAAGGCCTGAAGCTTTTCTATAACTACCAACATTTATCAAAGCTCATTGAGTTTCCAGAGGCATGTTGATGCTACTCCCGCTTCCAATGAAATAGAATGTAAATGGACGACTGTATAAATAAAAATGAATATGCATGAAACACAATGTATGTGAATGACAAAATATTCATTTAAAAATGTCTAAAGCCAAAGAATCCTTATAGAAAAGAAAGCAAAATAAGAAGTACAGAAGGAAGTGGAAGAGAATTGGAATACTAGTAAAAATCATGTCATAAATTCACAGTGCTTTACTCAAGAACCCTGGTTCCAAATGTCTTGGAATTAAGAACTTCTTAGTTTTTTTTTTAAAGAGAAAATATAGTGAATGTTATTCCAGACAAGGCAAGAATACAAGCAAATATGTCCTGGAGAAACCACAGTGGAGCCTGGAGCAGCACTCCTTAATCAAACACATAGATACCTCTGCAGTGATGAAATATGATTATTCTACAAGAGTCTGTACTACATTTAAAAAGAAAGTTCATTTCTATAGTCTTCAGATTTCATATTCAGGAATAATGGAGTATAGAGTTGTATTTTATAACATATAGTAATATTTTCCCAAAAGAAAAGCATTTTTAAAAAAGAAGGAGCAGTAGCCACAAAACTAAAAATAAGTACTTTCTTTTTTTTTCTTCCCCTTTTGGGGAGATGGCAAGCATCATCTTTTACCTGTCATTACAATGATCCATAATATTCTGATCAATGATTGTTTTTAAAGATCATTAATCCATTCCAAAAAGGCCATAAAAAGATAACAAAGCTCAATTCTACTTTGTTTAAGCAACAGTCTAATAATTCAAATGAAAAAGAGGAAGAATGGGAAAATCTATAAAAATATTTTTAATCTATGATTAAAAAGCTCTAATAGGTTACAGATTCCAACACTAGAGTTCTCTGGCCTAGTCTGAAACATAACAGACACATCTCATGATCTAACAATCTCTTCTCCAGAAGGAACAAGGACTATCATTAAAGAAAATACATGACGATCTAACACAAATCTAACAAAAGCAACATTTTTGTAATCCTTGTGTTTCTGCTACTCATGCAAAATGCTTGTTTTACAAAAACTATAGAAACATAAACTCCAAAGGTAGGCTTTTTTTCAGCACAAACTCAATAACACTATTTTCCAGTATTTGTAAAATGGAGCTGCATAAAAACATCCCAAAATAATAAAAAATAAAAGCATATATTGCATATAGTTTTTGTCATTAAGAGAATCCACGTTTTCTCCAACTATGGGCCCTCCCATGTTCCCTTCAATAGCCATATACATTCTTATGAGTATAATCCCAACATAACTAATAGTATGTAATTTTGGTAAAGAAAAAGGGGCAGAAAACTTGAGGGAGGGAAAGAAGAAAGGATAAGAATCTCACAGCTCTAAATCTTTCTCATCATGGACTGATCTTTCAAGATTCTCCATCACTACTTTGTTAACTGCTTTCTATGCTAAACAGGAAGTTGAAACATATTATATCTTCAAAATACCAAAACTTCATGACTATCAGTTGTGATATCCCCTCATCTTTTTCTCTGTACTGTGAGAGCGTACAGAGCAAACAAAGCATTCTATTTCTCACTAAAGATGATGTCTTTTTTAAAATAAGCTTTAAAGAATTATTTCCTTCTTACTTAATTTTAAACATATGCATATTATTTAAAAAAAATGTAATACCATCTGCTTCACAGAAGTTGTCTGAGGAATCATCATGTTTGGTCCACTGAAGGACAGCCTTCTGTGTTTCTTCACTTCAAACAAAGAAATAAAATAGTGTTAGTTTTTGTTAAAGTCAAAATTTCGTATGAAAGAAACATAAAATACTCCTCAGAGAGTCTAAAATCAGACCTCAGAGATTCATCCACTGCTCCAAGGCGTTCTGCTTGTTCACATTCTTCAATACGATTATTGGCTTCTTCAGAATACTAAATAAAAAGCAGAATAAACTCACTGAACTTTTTAAAATGTTTTAAACATAATTCAGAAGTAATTTCAGGTTCTTTTAATATTTGGCACCATCACCTTCGATTCAAAACCTAAAGATATAAGAAAAAAATTAGGTCCTCATAGTCCTCATATTTAAGGTTGAAAAATAAAAAGCTTTGCCCAGTACGTTCATGTTCACTAAGGCACTATTCACAATTTATAAAAGGTAGAAACAACCAAAATCCCCATTAGTTGATGAACAAATAAACAAAATACGGTGTATATATTTCTAGTGGCCTAGTGGTAAGGAGCTGCACTGTCAGCTCACATTCACCAGCTGCTCCAGGAGAGAAAGATGGGCAATCTCCTCCCGTGTGATTTACTGTCTCTAAAAACCCACTGGAGGGAGGATCAGCTATGAGTCAGTTACAACTCAACAGCATGTAATAACAATTAAATATATATATATATAAAATGGAAGAGGAAGTCTGGATGCATGCACAAAATGAACAACCCTAGAGGACACTATGCTAAATGAAGTCAGTCATAAATGTACAAATACAGTGTGATACCACTTATATGAAGTAAGCATATACATGGAAACCAAAAGTATTTAGTAGCTACCAAAGTGTCCACTAGGAGAATCTTTGTAGTATTAAAAAAGTGACTATAGCACAAACATTTAGTAATTAGCAATCCAAAAAGCTGATAGTTTAAACCTAACCAGCTGCTCTGTGGGATAAAGACTTGATGATCTGCTTCCATAAAGATTCTGGCCTAGAAAACTCTGTGGCCAGTTTTACTCTGACATGTGGTCACTGTGAGGCTAAACTGACTGAATCGCACCTAAGAGCAACCACAGGCAAGGAATCAGCAAGCACTGGCCCACTTTTCTAATAGCCTAACAGTTGGCATCTATTTCCTCTTCCATGAAATAAAGAAGATAATATGTGCTTAAATTTTCATCCCAATTCTAAATTCCATGATCTTAAGAATGCCCTGAAGCCTACTGGATCTTATAAAACATATTCCAGCACCTTTAGGTATTTAGACTAAAATCTTCAACAAGCATTATTTCTTCTCAATGTGTAACTCACAGTCTATTCACTCGTTTTGCCATACAAGGCAAGTGAGTGTGGGTCGTGAGTGTAGATCCTGAGACTGGTCTTCCCAAAACACCAGTCATCACTACAAAGCAGTCCAAAAAACAACAGTGAAGTCAGGAGGCTACAAGTTCAATTTTAACAAATAGGTACCAAGTACAAACTATGGCCTTACTTAATAGTAGTGACCATACAATTTAAGTTCGAATAGGATACTTTTCTTCCCAGATATGGACAGTTTTGATGATGAAACTCAAAACTCAAACTCACTGACATGAGGTTGAACTGAGTGATAATTGTCCCTCTAGAGGGTTTGTAGGCTATAAACAACACAGAGGAAATTGCTCATGTTCTACTGAGGAAGTGCTAGTGAATTCAAACTGCCGAAGAGGCAAAACCATTGAGATAGCAGCGCAACTCCCTATGAACTATGCCACCATAACTACCTTATGAAGATGAAGGAGAATACTAAGATAATTAAAGCCATATGTTGCTGCTGTTGTTGTTGTTGTGTACCATACCATCAGAACCGACCAACAGCTGACCCTCCAGTGGGTTTTTGGAGGCAGTTAATCACACGGGATGAGACTGCCCATCACTCTCCTGCAGAGTAGCTGGTGGCCTCGAACCACGTGCTTGCAGGATTACAGCACAGCTTCTTGACACTAGGCCACCAGAGCTCCCTATAGTCTTTTTAAACATTCCTTATTAAATGACAGACACTTTGTTACTATATTAATCAACCTACAAGACAGTTTGTGAAAATTTAACTTTACCCAGATAATTTGGTCTTTGGCATTGGTTCCTGAGATAACTTCCACCTGATGACTAAAATGTTAAGGAGTTTAGACACTACAGAATATGCTAATGAGACATCTCAGGTAGGGGCTGGCCCATCAGCAAGATCCACTGCTTGATATCAGCCAAACATAGTGGATTGTGGCAAGACCCAGTCACTCAGGGCTACATAATGAGGTGACAATAACAGTTCTGGGTATGGAGGTTCATAAGTTTCTTGATTGGTGAAAGCATCAATGCCCATGGAAGGGCAGCATGCCCCCTTTTGGGACTCAAGGGTCTGTGTTGGGAAATCTAGATCTCACCTCGTAAGTCACTTCTTTTGTTGTCCAAGTATATGAATTTGTCTAAATTTAGAAAATGTGTATTTAAGATTTATGCATTACACTTTAATTTTATATAAAAACTCAGAAACAAATATTGAACTTTAGTGATACCTTTGAGTTGTAGTGTTGAAGAAGAGTACTGAATATCCCCTGGACTGCCAAGAATTCAAACAAATATGTCATGGAGTATAACAGGGGTCCTTAGAAACAAGGATAATTAAACCTGGTATCACATTCTTTGGGCATGTCGTTAGAAGGGGCCAGTCCTTGAAAAAAGATATTATGCTTGCAATGGTGGAGCGTTAGCAAAAAAGAGGAAGACCTTCAACAAGATGGAATGATACAATGACTGTAACAATGAGCTCAAGTATATCAGAGACATTAAGGACGGTACAGGATAAAGCAAGGTCCAGACCACTGTTTATAAGATTGCTATGAGTAACAGTCAACTCTACAGTACCTCACAACAACAACAGTAAGTGATAAACGTCTAGTCATGTGAGTGGGTGGGTAGATGTATCAATGCCTATACCTCACTTTTATATACATCCAAAAGAGCAAGATGGTTTAATAAATAACTATATGACTGACTAGAAAGACAGACACATGATAATATATTGTTGTGTTGTTCTGTACCATCAAGTTGGAATTGACCCATTTAGCTGACCCGACAGAGGGTTTTCAAAAGCAGCTAATCACATAGGAGGAGACTGCTCATCTTTCTCCTGCGGAGCACCTGGTGGATTAGAACTGTGTGCCTTCGGCATTGCAACGCAGCTTCTTAAACACTGGGCCACCAAAGCTCAAGATAACATAATTAAAGAATAGTAGAAACTAGGGGGTGAGTATAAGTTTCTATAGGAAATGTTCCTTCATCCTCAATTTGTCTTAAATTTTTCATAATATAATATTGGGGGGAAATACTTTAGAGCACTTCAGTTGTCAAAACAAAACAACAAAAAAAATAATATCCCAGAATGGTTAAGTAAAAATTGTATCCCAGAATGGTAAGTACATGTAAGCTCTCGTTCTGTAAGCTCTCATGAAAAAGGGAAATTGGGAACCTAGTTTTCCATTAAACATGTATATTTTCTTTCTCCTTTTTTATGTAACTTTAACCAAAAGGGTCCAATGCAAAATAAATATACATTACCTAATAATAAAGTAAAGTTGTTGATTTACACTATGCAGTAAAAGGGGAAAGCACTATAGCAAGGCTATTACCCTGATTAGGACTGGTTTAGCCTCTATTTCCCGTTAAGTATTTCTTACAAATCTCTTCTAGGATTTCCCAGTGTTCCCACTCACTTGCCTGCCACCTGGTGGCCAAACCGCATAGGACATATTCAAGACGTGACAGGGGTCACAAAACAAATGGCTGCTAACCAAGAGGTCAGCAGAGGCAGCAGCATCCAACAGTCCAACCTCTAGGCCCCCTCACCCCTAAGAATGTAAGCAATTACAGCACCCCTAGCCATTTGTGTCTAAGGGCAATTATGTATTGTATCAATCATCACTCAGTATATTGCTCTGGAAAGACTGCTTTATACGTGCAAACAGCAGAACAAATAAAGACAGGTTCTCTAAGCCATCTTTGTGTTAAAGTGAGAACGCTTTTTAGCGCACATACAACTCAAATATGAGGAAAAGACAACCTATACTTGTCCAGAGGAAAATAGAAATACAAAGTATTGTGTCTATCAAATTGATCACAACTTAGTTTAGCACACTGTTAACTATATTTTATTGGGAAAAAAATAAATAAAGCCTCAGGACAAATGATAAATCAGACAAGCCAACAGATATAACTAGTCTTTTCCAGGGAAATCTTGGCAGATGGTCACTCTATTTGCTCTGTTACTCTGCTTACAGAGTCATTTTGACTTTTACCCTAAAATAGAGGAAAAGAATAGGATTTTAACTAAAGAGAAGGTACAATTATTTTTCTTTTTTTTTTTTTTAAATCACTAAGACTACTATTTTTACAAAAGATTAGGGAGCTCTGGTGGCCTAGTGGTAAGAAACTATGCTGCAACCTCAAAGGCACAGGACTGGAACTCACCAGCGGCTCTGCAGGAGGATGGACAATCTCCTCCCACACGATTTACTTCTCAAATCCCCACCCCCAGGATCACCTGTGGGTCAGTTCAGACTCAATGGTACACAATAGGAACAACAGAGAGACAGGCATGGAAGCTGGAAATTCCCTTAAGAGGGCTCATGCGCAACCCAGCCAGGCAAAAGTGATGGTGTTTGAAATATGAAAGTTAACAGTAAATAATGTAAGGTCCTAAATATATAGAGTAAATGCAACATTAACAGATTTTGCTCATATATGACAGAATGACTTAACAAAGGCATGACCCCAAGGTTTGTTGTCTGAGCAACTGGAAGCAAGATGTTGCCATTATGATAATGAAGATTGTGGGAGGTGCAGGTTTGGGGGAGAGATAAAACAGTAGCAGAATTCTATTTTGAATATCTATGTTTAAAATGCTAATCACATAACAAAATGAACATAAACAGGTAGTTGGTTATTCAAATAAAATTTAATAGAGTTCAAGGAAGAAGTCTAGGCTGGAGATAAATACTTGAATTCATTATCTGAATTATCGTCATATGGAGGGTATTTTATAAATCCTAAGACCAAATGACACCACCAAAAGAATGAGTGTAGAACAAGAAGAGGTCTGAGGAACTTGTCCTTTCAAGTTTGGGGGAATAAGGAAGAACTTGCAAAAGATACTCAGAAGGACAGGCCAGCAAAGTATAAAGGAGCATGTTCAAATGCTGTTAGCAAGTTAAATGGTGTGAATTTAACGAAGTGGAAGGTATTGTAGCCCTTGCCATTTCCAGGACATTTTAGGAGAATGAATTCAAGTGAAAATGAGGGCATAAGATATACAAATGTAAAATCAAAGTTTAAGAAAGAGAAATCTGTAATCACAAATGCAAACTGAAAATGTCAAAATGAACAGATGAATTATTTTTTGTTTCTTTTTTTTTTTTTACAGAGGTTTTGGATTTCCATTCATTCTTTGCTGCAATTTTCTCCCTTCCCACCCCTCCCCACCAGCTCACTTCCCCCTCGGAAGAGAGAAAAAAAAGAAAAAAAATTCCTTCATTAGTATACAATTCCCACGTCCCTTCCCCCACCCCCCACGCCGAGTACACTTCTCTATGCAACCTTAATTCTGGATTCCTGTGCTAACCATAATACTCAATCATATATCACTTCTAATTGAACAGATGAATTTTTACACTAGTCTTACAGCTCTGCCAATTGGAAGGCTTAGAAATAATGACAACTCACTAGCAATTAGTAACTCTAAGGATGGGCAGTCTTTTCCTGTGTGGTTTACTACCTCTGAAAGCCCACTGATGGATCAGCTATGACTCAACAGCACACAACAAGACCCAGACTAAATTCTCTAAACATACTTTCCCACTAAGAACAAGGGTTACTTAGAAAAATGGTTAATTCCAAGCCTGGAGCAAGAAAGGCATAAAATAAGCCTTGAGATCTTTTCACACTCACCCACTCGCTGACACTTGAGTGGGTTTTGACTCATAGTGACCTTCCATCAGGTTCAAGGCTGTAAGTCTCAATGGGAGGAGACTGACATTCTTTCTCCCATAAAATTGCTGGTGGATTCCAATTCCCCCAGACAAATAGCCTCCCCATTAGCAGCAAACCTCTCTATGGGCTATGCCACCAGAGCTTCCCTTTTGTCATAATGTTATTTCTGTTACATGCCTTCAAGTCAACTGCAAACTCATAGAGACCCCTATGAACGACAGATCTGAGTCTTGCTCTATCTTGTGCCAACATGAAGATCTCTGACATGCTTAAGACCATTGTTACAATCACTGTGTCAACTCCTTTTTTTAGGGTCTTTACCTCCTTCTGGGACCCTCCACCTTTCCCAGCACGATACCTTTTTTATAAGGACTGGCCCTTCCTGATAATAGATACAAAGAATGTGAGATGAACAGAATAGGGGTTGGGGGTAAATCTACTAAAGACTGCTAGGATTTTGTCAAAAGACCACAAGCGTTAACAAAAAGGATCTCCTATGATCAAAATGGGGCAATCCAAGCATTAAAAGACATTAAAAAAATAAAAACACTTAAAAAAAAAGACATAACAATTAAGTGACTAGAAGTAGACCACAATACATTAAAAATAATGAAAAAGTCCCTGAATATCTCTGGGGGCTACAGTCACCAATTCAATATTATTCTGAAAACTTACAAATAAAGGAAAAGAATAGAACACTTGTTCTGTAGCAACTATATTTAAAGATAGATAAAAGAAAATGTCTTCTTTATAGCATAATAAACTTAACTCATTGCCTTCAGTTTGGAACAGACTCATAGCTGACCTTCCAGTGGGTTTTCAGAGGCTGTAAATATGCAGGAGGAACTTTCTCAAAATTGAACAAGTAGACCACCAGAGTTCCCTATATTATAATAAGTGGTAAATACTAGATAAATGACAGAATTAGAATACTAACATTTCCAAACCCCTAGTGAAATAATAGGGAGTTCTGGTGGCCTAGCGTCAAGCTATGCTTCAATCCTGAAGGCACATGGTTCAAGGCCATCAGCTGCTCTGTGGAGAAGGATGGGCACTCTCCTCCCGTGGGATGAACTGCCTCTGAAAACGCAGTAGAGGGTCAGCTATGGGTCGGTTCTGACTCGATGGTACACAACAACGTTGAAATAATACATCAACGGTTTCAAAACTTTTAGGTGAAAAGTTGGTAGGGAACTTGATAACAGATGGAACAAGCTGACAATACTTGTTGTCACCTAATGACCAATCTTAACATCACAAAGAAAGAAAATGAGACTTTATTTGCCCTCTGATATATGTGCAAAAAATTGAGTCAGAAAACTTATTTTTAAAAAAATATTAAAAGAGAGATGAAATACACAAGAGACACATAGATCCAATGCAATATGTGAAACATGTTTGAAATCTGTTTCTAATAAACAACTAAGGCATTTATGAAACAACCAGAGAAATCTGAACTGTCTTCAGTCATGTTTAAAAGAACATGTCTTTTTGCTTTATAGATGTATATGGTTTAGTTATAAGCAAAATTATTTCTTTTTTATTTAAATATTTTAAATAATTGGAAGGAAGGAGTGGAAGAAACTGATGAAGACTGATCATTGACAGTTACTGAAAGTGAGTGATGGTGAATGGGGGTGAATTACTTTTTTTTCTGTAACTTTATTAATCCTTAGTACTTGCTACACTACAAAGTTAAGCAAAAGAAAGACTAGTAAAAAGAAACAGAAATAGAATATTAACTGACAGGAAAGATAGTCTATTGGGCTTCTCATTTAAACATTAACCATACTAATAAGTGTAAATACATACTTTGTAGCTTGCAGATTTAATACCATCAGGAACTTCATCCTGAAAGAGAAAAAACAAGATTATTTTTAATGAAAGCATTTCTTTATCGTCTTAAAAAATATTTTATTAAATATTTTTATTTTCTTGAAAATAAAATAATTATTAAAATTATTCTTAATAGTAATTTTTATTGGAATAGTGTTTCATATTATTCTTTATTCATATTACGTTTCATTCAATCATTCTTTTTTTTTACTAGTTTATTTACAAAATTCGAACAAATTCTTTCAATTTCCCTCAACCCCCACTCATCAAATTATACAATCCAATGATTAATCCCCCATTCCCCCTGCACATCCACATCCCTCGGCTTCCAGCCTCTCTCACCTTCCTGGATCCTTATACTCATTCTACAATAATTATCCTTATGAGACTGAGTTAGTTCACTCAGCATAATGTTCTCTAGTCCTCCTAAAGTAGGTAACAATTTACAAAAGTATTGTTCCTGTGTGCTGCATAGTATTCCATTGTGTGAAGGTATCATAATTTCTCAATCCATTGAGCTGTGGTTGGACATTTGGGCTATTTATTAACAGAGAATGTTTAAGCAGTTTTATACTTATTTCTTAAAAATAAAAACGCAACAAGCAATTATTATGTGGATTGTTAAATATATATTTTGTTACTGCATGAAAATATGAGCGTATTTACTTAGCCACTATTCCTTTTGATGCTCACGTAAATCATTCCAGATTTAACCACTGATGCTAATCCCTGTGTCCTCTGGATATTCTCCCATAGTCTGTAGTAGGTTTTGCACATTTTTTTAATGACAAGATAATCAAGACTCATATATTTCTTACTTAGTCTTCAAATTAGCCATTTTTAAGGAGTCTGTGGTTTTATTCGGTATTGTTCCAAGGGCGCTCTGGTAGTGTGGTCTGTAGGGAGCTACAATGCTAACCCAAAGGTCTTTGGCAGTTCAAATCCACAAGCTGCTCCACAGCAGAAAGGTGGACTACCTCCTCCCATGTGCTGTAAAGCCTCCAAGAAGCTGTTGGAGAGTCAGCTCTGAGCCAGTTTCAACTCAACAACTAGTTTAGTTTGGTTTTTAGTTTTACTCAGAGGAAAATGGTACTGATGTTTTAGTCATGTTTTGAGGCCTGACTGGCTATAGGGCAGAAAAGTTAACTCATTCCATTTATCAGAAGAAATAATGATGTATATGGTTCAAATGAAAAGCTAAACACACTGGTGTGAAGTTGGCTTGACACACAGCCATCGAGTTTCCTAAGCATTAAATCTTTTCCAAAGAAGACTGATCATCTTTCTCTTTTGAGTAGCTTGTAGATTCGCCAAACTTTCTGTAGGTAGGAGAACATGTTATATGCTACACCACAAGGGGTCCTTTAGAAAAAGCCTGAGTGACAGTTAAAGATTAATTGATAAGTTAAATTTAATATGTATACAATGAAAAAATTAAAAAAAAATAATTCCCAAAATATCTTGGAATATGGATGAACTTGAAGGACATTTTGGAGTGAAATAAGTCTATCATATTCACACACATACACACAGAACCCAAATACTGTCTGTACTCACTTTTACAAAATAACATGAAATTGACTAATAATGTTCATTAGCAATTATTAACCATCATATGGAGGCAGGGGTGTTGACTATCTACATAAGAGTCACCTGTCATTTTTCATGACAGAAAGGGAACATTAACTGAGGGTAAAATGTGCCCAGCTTTGTTAGTAACTGCTATGGCATATATAATTCGAGGCAACAGCAAAAATGACATGTGAAAAGTGGCAACGACTTCCTAAACTTGATAAATGTTGATAGTTGTAGAGGTGTATCAGGCCTTTTGCTCATAGAGTCGCTAGAGTCATGCTCTACTCAAAGGCAATCATCATCATCAATAACAACAGTAGGTACATATGTATGTATATACAGAGACCTTGATGGAACTGTAGTTAAGTATTTAATAATAACATAAAGGTTGATAGCTGAAATTCACCAATCACTCCACAAGACAAAGATGTGGCAGTCTGCTTTTATATAGATGACAGCCTTGGAAAACCTACTAGACAGGTTATAAGGTCACCATGAATTGTAATTATCTCAATGACAATAGGTTTGATAGGTATATATAAATATGCTATTGTTGTTGTTGTTGTTGTTGTTGTTGTTATGTGCTGTTGAGTCGATTGTGATTCACAGGGACCCTAAGAACAATAGCTCTGAATCTGGCCCTATCCTGAGCCGAACTCACCACCTCTGACACATCTGACCCCATTGCCACAGTCACTGTAGCAATCCTTATCATTCAGGGTCTTCTCCTGCACTGACCTTCTACCCTTTCAAACATGATGTCCTTCTCCAAGGACTGGTCCCTCCTGGCAACATGCCTAAAGTATGTGTGACAGAGTTTGCCTAAAAGGAGCAAACTGATTTCACCCTCTCCAGGACAGACCTCTTTATTCTCTTTGAAGTCCATGGTATTTTCAATATTCTTCTCCAGTACCACAATTCAAAGGCATCAAATCTTCTTCTGTCATCCTTAGTCATCTTCCAGCTCTCAGGAACATAGAGAGCAACTGAGAAGATCATGGCTAGGTTCAGGCACATCTTAGTCTCTAAAATTAACGTCATTGCTCTTTAGTGCTCTAGGAGAGGTCCCTGACATCAGGTAATTTGTTGTTGTTGTGTACCTTTGAGCCTAAACCGATCCACAGCTGCCTTTCAGGTGGGTTTTCAGAAGCAGTAAATTACATGGGCGGACATTGACCATCCTTCTCCTTCAGAACAGCTGGTGGATTTGAACCATGGTATAGATATACACACACATACACGCTGACACAGCTAATGATACTTGTTGTTGTTGTTGTTTGATGCCGTAGAGTCGTAGACGACTCATAGTGACCCTATGAACGAACGGCCTGAGCACTGTTTGTACATAGAGTTTCCGGAGGAAAGCCATTTCGGAAGTGGATGCCGCTCCTACTTCCAGGCTTGATTTAGTCAGGAAGCTCCAGCCAGCACTGTCCACCATGGGTACCCATTACCACGACTGGCACATCACTGTCACAGTCTTCAGCAATCATACTTCTTAGACATTGCCAAATATGTCACAGACATTTGCTTATAGTCTCATTGTATATCTTGGTCAACCCTCATAGTTTATAAGGTTAAATGCTACATCCTAGATTGGTTAGTACTAAGTTCTTAAAAGCTTACAAGCAGCCATCAAACATACAAATACTGCACTCTTCTCAAGTAATGCAAAAGAAAAAGAATGAAACCAAAGACTCAAATAAGAAACTAGTCAACAGGGAAAACAGTCTACACAAGCCACAGCTTCATCTCTCTAGAAGAACTAGATAATCTACCATAATTAACAGTTCAAATAAGGACCACAGTAGATAGACCAATAGATAGAATGGGGATAAAATGTGCAACAGAACTTTAAATTCCTAGCAAAAAAGATGTTAAACAGGGAAGGAGGAGGAAGTGTATGTATTTTGTAAAATTTCTTGAAACATTTTGCCGAATTTCTCTTTTTAAAAAATTTAACTACCTGTGTGTTCATTTCTCTAACTCCCAAATTAACACTGGGTACTGTTAATCTTTTCCATGCTGGCAATTAGTAATGGGAGACAAAAACTTTGTTCAGATTAATTGTAAAGGGTCCAAATGACTGGACTTTCAGCTTACACTAAAATATTCCAGTCTCTGTGGGCAGACTGCCTGCCTCATTCAAATTTTCTCTGGAAGCAGGGATGCAAATCAAAGTGTATGGTTTTTATAAATCCAAGGATAAGGAAGAGAACTTCAATGTTGATTATTTTTTTTCTATCTCTGTCTATGTATGATCTGAACCAAGTCAATAAATCAACTAACAAGGAAATCAAAGAGTGGACACCAAGAAAACGAACCTTGTTCCTTGTGTAGTCCAAAAAGGCATTAATAAAACCACAGCAGACCAGCAGAGGCAGTAAGTGACCCATGTTTAAACTTCCACATGCTTTAAGAAAGAACTGCTAATTTTATTAGGTGTGATAATGGCACTGTGGTCATAAAGTAGTGTTCTTTCTTGAAAAGATGCCTACGCAACAAGCGTGAACGCTGCATGGCACAGAAGGTTAAGTGAAATGAGGGGCTGACCATTTGAACCCACCAGCCACTGCGTGAGAGAAAGAGGAGGAGGCCTGCTCCTGAAAAGATGTACAGCCCTGGAAAATCCAGGAGGCAACTCTACTTGTCCTTTACAACTGTTATGAATTGGAATCAACTGGGCAGGACTGGGGTTATCTACAGTATGTAACAATGAAATGTTGAGAAATTACCATCGAATTTGGGGGGGAATGCTAGATTTGTTGTTGTGTGCTTCCAAATGTATTCCAATGCATAGCAATCCTACAAGACAGTGTGAAGCTGCTTCATAAAGTTGTCTAGGCTGTAAATCTTTATGGGAACTAATTGCCAGTCATCAGTTAGGTGGGCTTTAACTGCTTTTGCTTAGCATGTGAGCTCGTAACAATTTGGTTGGTATCTGAGCACTTAATTACAAGGGATCCACACAAGAGCTCCTGACAACAAATAATTTAGGTTGAAACAAGTACTTCAAAGTGCTTAAATTGATCTTCAATCACTTTTAAGTTCTGACACACCACACAGCCCATTTGAGAACAGTCAGAACTGAGCCCAGGTTTCCTATAAGGAACGTAAGTGGTTCATTTCCTCATCCTTACTTGGAGTTCAATGTCTTCTTCCTCTGCTCTCCCTTCCCCTCTGCTCACTGTGTATACACCTTCAGTGCATCTCTGTTATTGCAGTGAAGTGGTTACTTAGTGTTACTCTTCCCTCTTAGATACATAAACTCCTCAAGGTTAGAACTCATCTTGTTAGTCCTAGTATATAGGAAGCTTCCTAAACATACCATATTGCACCAAACTGCACTCAACTGCTCCTTGATATTTCTTTACCGGTCACTTCTCCATCCCGCCCCATCTTCTGATTGCCACTCTACACTCTTGCCAGGTATCCTAAAACTTGGATCTAACCACACAAGATCAATATATACACTTACAACCAAGACTATTTTTGATGGATAAACACCCTCTAACTGCCAAAAGCACAAACAAATACTTCTCAGAGAAAGGATAACCACGGTGCTCCTTGGAGTCAAGGATGGTCAAATTTTGTTTCATATACTTTGGGCATGTTCTTAGGAGGCGTCAATCCTTGGAAAAAGACACCACACATAGAAAAGTGGAAAGTCAGTGAAAGAGAAGAAGATCGTCAACAAGATGGATTGACACAGTGACCCATTGGCACAATGGGCTCAAGCATAGTAGAGATAGGGAGAATGGCACAGGACAGGTAGGGCAAGGTTCAGATCTTTTGTTCATAAGGTCGCTACAAGTAGTAGTCAATTTAACGACACCTAACAATCACAATAGCCTTTTAAAGAAAAGGCCTTTCCTATGCTAAGAAATCAGCTCAAGGTAGGAGCGAACCAAAAAAAAAAAAAAAAAACCACAAAATACTAGCACCTGACAGATGTGAAAGGTTCTCTGAAACAGTTTCATAGGACCTGAAATAAATAGATTATGTCTCAGTTTCTTGAAACAAATTTCACCTGTTCTTTCTTGGCATTTCTGTGTTCAAGTAATAAGCATCTATTTTTCTAAATTTCTTAAATGATAAATTCATTGGTTTTGGTAGGATTTACTTTAAAGCAGGCCTCATTCATGCAGCCATATGTTAATCTGGTAATCTAGAACTATTATTTTATGCTATCTTTTCATTCTTCTGTCTCTTCCAGTCTTCTTGTCAAAGCAGCATCCTCTAGCTTTTACTTGATTAATGAGAAAAAGTAGCCACTATCTCAAAATGAGATTCTATTTTGCAGTAATTAATGGACTGTTTTCTTCACTTGACTAATGTTAAAAGCCTAGCTGATGCAGATGATTGAATTAAATGCCTTTATAATGCCAAATATTTAAGGAGCTCTGGTCCATAGAGTGTGATACTGCTCATCTCTGGCGGTTCAAACTCATTAGCCACTCCACGGAAAAAAATGCAAGTAGTCTCTTCTCATTAAAAATTACAGCTTTGAAAGCCTGATGGAAGGTCACATTGGGTCAGAACTGACTCAATGGCCATGAGAGAGTGAGCACATATTTACCTTCCATGTAAGTTAATTGTGAATATCTTTAAGTACTTTTTCCTACAACTGAAAATTAAATGCAAAAACTTACTAAATAAAATTAAATGTTTTTGGAGTTTGGGTTTTTTTTATAATTTTTATTTATTTATTTATTTATTTATTTATTCTTTTTACGTGTGTACCGTCAAATTGGATCTGACTGGTACAGGAGGCGATTGTTCCTCCTTCTTCAGCAGAGCATCTGGTGGATTTGAACCGTGCAGTTTCCTACCACTAGGCCACCAGAGCTCGCCAAAATTAAATGTTTTAATTAATACTACTCTGATGTTAAGTGCAAGCTTTAGAAATTATAACACTAGGTTTTTCATAACTGAATTTTTGGTTTTCAAAAGGTCGTATGTATGAGGCTAAATATAACTAAAAACAAGCTTCTCATCCATTTTCATAATAAAATGTTCATTAATAATATTTGCATTTGCTTTAATTCCACATTAAGTCTATGTTGTTTCTGTCATTGTTATGAGCCATGGAGTTAGAACCAACTCATAGCTGACCTAGCAAGTTTTCAAAGGCTGTAAATCACACAGGAGGAGACTACCCATCTCCCTCCCAAGGAACAGCTTGTGAACGTGAACTGTCTGCCTTCAGGTTGACAAAACAACTACTTGACACTAGGTCTGTTGTTGCTGTTTTTTATAGGTGGTAAAGAATCAGGTACAACTGTATGAGCAACAGATGTGAACCTTGCCTTATCCCATGCCATGCTCACCATCTCTGATATAATTGAGCCCACTGTTATAGGGACTGTGTCAATCCACCTCCCTGGGGGTCTTCCTCTCTTTTGCTGACCCTCCATCTTTCCAACTATGAAGTCCTTTTCCTCCTAACAATACGTCCAAAGTATGTAAGATGAAGCTTTGCCATCCATGCCTCTAGGGAGCCCCGTTGGTTGCACTTTCTCTAAGACATACTTTGTGCTCTTAGCAGTCCACTGGGCATTCAGTACTCTTCAACACCACAACTAGGTCTATGTAGATAGGTCTATGTACCAAACTGTAAGTGTATAAAAGGAACTATTTAACGAAAAGCTTAAAGTTTTATCTGGTTTATGTTGTTGTGTGCCAATGAGTCAAAACTGACCTATACCTGACCTTCCAGAAAGTTTTCAAAGGCTGTAAATCACACAGGAGGAGACTTTCCCATCCTTCTCCCACTGAGCAGCTGGTGACTTCGAACCGTGTGCCACTGGTATTGCAGCATAGCTTAACGTCACCGGCTTTAACATTATACTATTTCAAATGTTAATGCTCTAAGAATTCTTATGAAAAACCAGGTGTTTTAGACTTTAACCCCTTAAATGAAAAACAATACACCTACTAAAAAAAGGGAGAATAAATTTTGTTTATATCTCAGACAAATTTCTTTTTATCACACTATAAGCATAACTCTGTTCAGGTAAGATACAAGATAAAAGTCAAGCCACAAGAGTTATTAATCTCATTAATAAGCAAAGGATTGTGTTAACCATAAAATTTATATTACATCATTATGATTGTTGTCGTGTGCTATCAAGTTGGAACCAACTCCTAGCTGACCCGCCAGTCTGTTTTCTGAGGCAGTAAATCGCAAAAGAGGAGACTATCCATCTTGTTCCCTCAGAGCAACTGGGAGATTCAAACCACAGGCCTTTGGGTTGGCAGTGAGGTTCCTTACACTAAACCACAAGAGCTCCCTATATCATTCTATGGGCAAAATCATTCAAAATAAGTTTTCATTTTTAAGTTTAAAATTTTATATTATATTTAACCTAAAGAGTAAACTATTCAGTTGTACTTGTTCTTTTTTAAAATGTTTCAAAGACAAAAAAAGATGTAACCAATTTTAAATGTATACTTGATTCTTACAGATTGGCAAGGTCTGACAGCACAATCCCTTCTTCCACACTGGTTGATATCATTCCAGAAAGGGCATGGCTTCTTCAGGTTTACCTGAAAAATAATAAGAGGAAATAAATCCCAAAAATAAAGATCTCAAAATTATCATGAGGAGGTTTTGGATTGTGATTCTATATATAACCTGAGCAGAAAAAGCTCAGTGGTGCTGTGATTAAAATATTCAGCTAATAACCAAAAAGTTGGCAATTCAAACCCACCAGCTGTTCTGTAAGACAGAGATGAGGCTATCTGCTTCCATAAAGATTAACAGTCCCAAAAATCCAATGGAGTACTTCCTCTTGTCCTACAGGGTCACTATGAGTTGAAATTCACTGAGTGGCAGTGATTTTGGGTCAAAGACTTGGTTGGTATTATTCGCTCCAATTATTCTAATTTTTCCACTTACCTACTGTCAATAATTATATAAATGTGTAACTGGTACAGATAAATTTATGAACTTTCTTAGAAAGACACAGAATGCTATTAAACAGTTCCTCAGTAAAGTCATTCATATCATAACTCTTCTCAACTTACATTCTTTCTTTTGTTGTAGTTATGTGCCATCAAGTCACCTGAGACTCATAGCAACCCTATGTACAACAGCTTTGAAGCCTGCCAGGTCTCACTGATTCTGACACACTTAACACCGATTGCCCCAGTTACTATGTCAATCCATCTCATCTCAGGTCTTTCGCTCCTGTGCTGTCCCTCCAAAAGCAAGTAAAATTTAACAGGTAAATCAGTTGGATAACTGTGATTCAGACAATAATTGAATATATTACTGCTAAGGTTTTTCTAAACTCTCTGAATAAAATAGCACAAGTTACTTGATAAAATTATATAGGTCTAAACAGTAATGTTCCTTAAAACTTTCTTTCAATTGCTTTAACAGTTTTAGAGTCAATCTGATGTTTTAGAAAATTATAAATAATTCACTTATTTATAACAACACAATAGTTTTGTTCTCAGATCAATTTACCCAACTAGCTTAGTCAAATTCAGATAAAAAAATTAAAAATATATCCAACAGGTGTTGACTGTTCAGAATTACATTATCCAATCTTTTGGAATGAATTTTCTTAATAAAACAACTCACAATTTTATATTATAATCACAACTTAATTAACTTACAAGAAAACATAACTATCCACTTAAACTTTTAAATATTCTTATACCAGAAAAATTAAAAATACCTTATAATATCTAAAGTAGTCACTTTCAAGAAGTTTTTGAAGTCTTGGGAAAAGCTTGTAGTTATTAAATTTATCAATGGTTTCCACATCACAGGTACAATCATCCAAATAACCACTAACCTGTTAAAAGAAAATAAAACATTAAGTTGAAATTCCTTGATGCAACAGGATTTTTTTTTTCTCACGTGGTTATCATGAAATATCTTGTAATTCTGCCAATTCTATCTCCTCTCTCCTAATCATTTTCTGAGAGTGTAGGACAACAATTAGAAAACGACTGCTTTTACAATGAGCCACACGCCCCCAGAGATTTGGTAACCTTGCAGCCATCTGTAACTCTACCTCAGTTGATTTGACCAGCCTTGAGATCTGACTTGACCCAAAGCAGGTCATGAACTCTTCTCCAGGAATATAGATTTGAAACTAAGACAAAGTGATGTCTCTCTTTGAGTCAGGACCTATAAAGAAGTCAGCCTAGACCATATTCCATCATGTAATTCTGAACAGAAGATCCAGGTAGCAGAGATCAGAAAGATTTTTAAAGGTGCAAGAGGAAGCAGAGATGGGAGATGGATAGCATATGCTACATGAGGTCCCTAGGGTGTTCTAGTTCCTACTATCACCGGTCTTCCCTGAAGCCTAGCTGCATTTCTGTCCTTGGTCTTCCTGAGACATTGTATTCCTATAATTCTGTTGTCTCTGTCTTCCTTATGTTTCAATTTCCCAGAGAATGTTAATACAGAAACAGCTTGGCAAATATATTTGAAAAGTGATATTAAATTTTTAAGAAAAGCAGTAAAGATACATCAAATTTTAAATGCTGTGGCACAGCAATTTTTATAGTTTAAAATGGTGGCTAGAAATTATTTATCATTAAGGGAGCTCTGGTGGCCTAGTGGCAAGAAGCTGTACTACAATCCCAGAGGTATGTGGTTCAAATCCACCAGATGCTGTACTGCAGAAGGAGGAGCAATCTCCTCCTGTACCAGTCAGATCCAATTTGATGGTACACACATAAAAAATAATAACATTTTTTAAAAAAAGAAATTATTTATCATTATCAATACTGGGATCATAAACTGATCATGCAGCCAAAGCTGATCTTTCAATGCTTAATATTATTATCTTAATTGTATTTACTACACCCAAACCCATTATGGTCCAGTTGGTCCTGACTCTAAAAACCCAACTAGACACAACAGATTTGGCCTGCAGTTTCCAAAGCTGTTTGTTTGTCTTACTGAAGCAGATTGCCAAGTATTGTTTTTCCCACAGGTGGACTTGAACCACCAGCCAATTACTTAATCACTGCACCACCAGGGTTATTTATATCTACTAAACCAACTATTCAATGCACCAAACCATTCAGAAAAGAGATTCATCTCATAGTTTGGTGGAAATATTTCTTTTGTACACAATGGTGGATTATGTCTGATGAAGAGATGTTATTATATATATAACATATACATCAGAGCACTGTACAATGACTAAGGATAATAGAGGAAGAATCAAAGCCTTTGAGTTGTGATGCTGGAGAGAGCATTGAATGTACCACAGACTGCTAAAAGAACAAACAGGTCTGTCCTGGAGTGGGTGAAATCAGGCTGCTCCTTGAAGGCAAGGTTTTTGAAGCTCCATCCAACATGTCCTTGGAGAGGGATATCTTGCTTGGGAGGGTGGAGGGCCAGCAAAAGAGAGGAAGACCCTGGATGAGATGGATTGACTCAGTGACTAGGGTAATAGGGGTAGATGTGTCAGAGACAATGAAATTGGCTCAAGACACCGCTGAGTTCAGAGCCGCTGTACATAGGGTGGCTATGAGTTGCAGGTGACTTTACAGCCCATAGCAACAACAACAACAACCAGTGAGAATGCAAATAAATAATATTTAAACATTTGACAAAGTTTGGAATAGTAAAATATTGCACTACCTTTTAATCTTGAACATCACAAAATAGGACTGGGAAATTGCACCCAAGAAGTATGAGTACCTGGAGAATAATAGCAATATTAAAGTGGTAAGATTTTTTTTTTTTGCCTAATCTTACTTTGTTTCAGACTACTTAGTTCAGTTGCTAGGGGAGCTCTGGTAGATTAGTGGTAATTAGTTATGCCACCAACCCAAACTCATGTTCGAATCCAACAGCTGCTTTGCAGGAGAAAGAAGGTAATCTCCTCCTGTGTGAAAACTGCCTATGAAAACCCACTAGAGGGTCAGCTAGGAGTCAGTTCTGACTTGATGGTGCATGACAACAATTGCTAGTTCCTGGGTGGCACAACTGGTTGAGAACTCAATTGCTCACTGAAGCGTTGATGGTTCAGATTAAAGAAAGGGCTGACCATCTGCCTTTGAAAAGTCACAGCTTTTGCAAACCATATGGTGCACAGTTCTGCTCGGCAGCACATGGGTTCCCAGGAGCTGGAACGGACTTGCATATAATTGGTTTGGTTTGGTTTTGGTTTAACTCAGTTTCTAGAAACCTAATCTACATATTTTGTCACTATATAACTATTCTCATTTAGTATGGAAATCTGTCCATGTTTCGTTCTAAACATTCTGAGTATACCACAATTTTAGAGACATAATTTTGGAAACGAAGGAAAAGTGTTTTAATCTTAGATAATTTGAGTTTTCACGGCTCTTTATTTTGAGCCTTACATGTAGAATTTCTAAGGACATGAAATAGTTACTGTTTCTCTCCTTTGAAACAAATTATCATATAAAGAATAACAGACTGCAAAAAACCAAAGGGACAGGTGTCAAGTAGATATTTAGTCAAAGAGCAGTCCACTTTTTTTCTCCCTGAAGAGTTCATTTCTAAAATTAAAAAAAGAAAGAAAAGAACTTTAAAACTCAGCTATTAACTCTTTTAGGAAAGTATATCTCAGGTGCTAAAAACCAACACCTGCCAGAATAAATAACCTTCCTGACACATGACACTTTCACATGCCATATGAATAGATTTAAATGAACGTATCTATTTCTCTCCACTGACTAGACTATAAAATTCTTAAGCAAAAATCATTTTTGTTCATTTTTCTAGTCTTAGTACCTAGCACTGTATTTCTAGAAGGCACACAAAGGGATGCTCAAAGATTATATGTTGAAGGGTAAATGGAGGAAGAAAGAAATGAATGCTGCCCACTGTCTCTCATCATTCACAAGAGACTAGCAACACACCACCTAATTACTCTCCTATGTCATATATTACATCTAGTAGTATTCTATGCTACAGACCACATAAATATGAGTTACATATGCAGTCTTACAGTTAATAACAAATAAAGAGCTCTTTAAACAATCCTTTGCATCCAGCATTCTCTGCCCAGTCTGTTGTTTCACAGAGTCATGATAAGTTATACAGTTGCTTAGATGGTGCCTAGCAGCAACAACATAGCCCAATTACAAAGGAAATTCTAAGAAGCTCCAAAGCAAAATGGGATTACCTCCAAAATATGAGTGATTTATTATCATCAAGAAAATTCAAAGAGGTGAAGATAGGACAATGGTAAATTTTTGGGTTTTCGGCCCCTTAATATTGAGTAGGGAATTCCTCAGTACCACCAGAAATAGTAAGAAATAGCTAAGGGGTGGTATGAGCATCAGGAGAGCACAGCAAAAGAATAGGCAGCTCCTTGGAAATCTAAGCCATCAGTTTAGATCAGCCCACCAGCATCTGCAGAGCCTGATCCCTGGAAGGAAATCTGAAAGCTGTGCTACCAGGCCCAACTCTAGAAACTAGGGAACCAGATATATTACCAAAGTGCTAGGAAAGCATGACATCAGAAATCAAGTTCACAGATGATGGAAGATTTAAAAAAAAAAAAAAAGGCAAAAATATTATGTGAATTAATACCAAAAGGCAGGTACCACTTAATAATGTGGACGATCTGGTGCTTGCTGTGCCTTGTTGTATTGGTGGTGGTGTTGTTGCTGTTGTTAGAATGTGCAATGAAAGTAAAGTTTGGCTCTAGCATAGCAGTGTGCATTCAACAACAACAACAACAAAGTAACCATCTCTCCCTGAAAGCTATCAGTACATGATAAAATTTGAAACCTACTTCTAGGTTTTAGATTAAAAATTAAGTATTGATAGGGCCAAGCTAACAGTTGAGTTTAAAAGATTGTCATTGTGGGATGGTAGATAAAGGACCAAGATAGATTTGACATCATGCATTATCCAATTTAACTCAATTTAAAGTCCTGTCTCTTAAGAGGGAGATGGTAACATACTCTGTAGTAATTGCTCTACTAACCCAAAGGCTGAATGAACCTCTCTGGCAGTACAAAGGCCGAACCTCTCAGCAGCTCCAAGGGACAGGCAATTTCCTTCTGTGTGATTTATAACCTCAGAAACCCCCTGGAATGTTGGCCTACAACAATGAAAGGTCTCTTAAGAGTTGCAAAGCTTTGTAAGGCTTTATTCAACCTCCAAATGTAAATGGGAATCCTTCTAAATACACTCTTCCAGGAGGAAGTAGTGTGTGTCAGCAGTTAAGCACACAGACTTCAGAGGCAGCCCTTCTTCAGTTTGCATCATCTCACTTACTACTTGTTAATTTTACTCATTTAATTTAAACTCAAGGCCTGTTTCCAGTGTTGTTGTTGTTATGTGCATCCAGTCGCCTGCAACTCATAGCGACCCTATTACAACAGCCCTAAACCCTGCTCTATCCTGTGCCAATCTCACTGTCTCTGACACACCTATCCCCATTACCCCAGTCACCGAATCAACAGAGGGTCTTCCTCTTCTGCACTGTCCCTCCATGCTCCCAAGCATGACATTCCTCTCCAAAGACTGATCCCTCTTTGCAATGTGTCCAAAGTATGTCAGATGAAGTTTCAGAATCCTTGCCTCTGAGAAGCAGCCTGGTTTAACCCTCTCCAGGATGACCGTGTTCATTTTCTTAGCAGTCCATAGTATATGCAATACTCTTCTCCAATACCACAGCTCAAAGGCATCAATTCTCCTTCTATCCTCCTTAGTCATTGTCTATCTCTCTGACGCATAACAACTGATTGCAAAGACCATGGCCTGTATCAGGTGCACCTTAGTCTCCAGAGAGACACCATTGCTCTTCAGTACTTTGGAGAGGTCCCTAACAGCAACCTTTCCCATTGCAATACATCTTTTAATTTGCTGGCTGCTGGTGCCAAAAGTGTTGACTATGGAGCCAAGCAAGCTAAAGCTGTGAAAAATCTCAATCTCTTCACCATCCATCCTGATGCTGCCAATTGGCCCAGTGGTCAGAAACTTTATTTTCTTGATATTGAGCCTCAATCCACATTGAAGGCTACAGTCCTTGACCTTCTGAAGCAAGCACTTCAAGTCCTCCTCAGTTTCAGCAAGCAGGGTTGTGTCATCTGCATAATGCCGATTGTGTTCAGTTTCCAATAGGTATACAAAATAGAAGTAATAGTTGGCATCTCAAAGAATTGTTATCAGACTAAAATTATGTAGATTAAGAACCATCTAGTAAATGTTAATCACTACTATTACTCTATTTCTGTTTAAATGTGTTCGGCGATAGATATGTTACTAGTTCCCAAAGGAGTTCATGTATTTTTAATGCATAAGAAAAAGACCAAGTTTGTAGCTAAAATTTTCTAGAACTTTTCTATCAGTCATCCAAAAGAACAAAGAACCGAATAAATAAAAGTCAACTGTAGAGAGAGCCTGGATGATTTTCCTCCATTGATTCTCATTTGTTTGGATCCATGTAAAAATTGTGCAGCAGCAGCAGACTTCCTCTTCTGACTTCACAATGAGTGAGGAGAATCTACAGATCGAGGCTGGTTTCTGAGGTAAAAGTCAAACCAACCTTCAACCTTTCTACCAATCCTGACACTAGTCATCCCTCCCACAGCATTCTATATCTCTGCTAAATTCAAGAATTCGTCGTTATGGTCACACAGAACTCATAGGCAATACTCATGATTATGGGTTTTATTAGAGAAGTATCCTTTGCTTCACCAGGAAGGGCCAACAGGCATCCCAATCCATCAGGAATTCTCAGCCTGGTCTCTCAGCTCTCTCACTTGGTAGCTCAGCATCCAGTGCCCACAGCACCCCTCTCTAGCAGCAACACTAACATTCCTACTTGAAGGCACTCAGTGACTTGGGAGCGCACTACACTCTCTCTTGCTGATCTCCTGGCTCTGCTGCTGTCATTTTTCTGCCACTGCTTCTTTCCATCCAACACTGTCTCTGGTGTTACCACTCTTTCTGTCTCCCAGGTCTAGAAGGTCTGAAGCATAAGGACTCTGGGTTCAAAGGATAGGTTTCCCTCCTGTCACTGTTTGGTGGTGTAAGGTCCTCCTGCCCTGAGATGACTCATTTCAAGCCTAGGAGAATGGCAAAACTAATCAATTCCCTTATTAGGATCCCACTCCCACAAAAGAAAACAAAAACCTGCGCACCGTCAATCAAATTGCTCTACAATGTAGTTATGGATATAAAATGCTTAGAGGTATTTCTACTTTAAAAATTTGAAATTACTAGAAATGTCACTTGTCAAATTACTCACAGGATGGCAACTAATACAAAAGTTATTTCTTCCAGTCACTTTGTTCAGAAGAGCGCTAAAACCAACAGGCATTCAGAGGCAACAGTGCCCAGTATTACCTGTTTCAAAGATCCCTCTGACTAAATTTTAATCTTGGACTTCTTTCTACCCACCAGCCAACATATTGCCAACAATGCCTCTTCCATTAGTCAGTCATTTCAGTTAGCAAATAAAAACTATTCTTTAGATTGGTCCAAATAAGACATTTGATAGGTTAAACTAGTATAATAAATATACATAAACTATATCTACCATGCATTTCAAAATCTATTCTTTGCATTTGGGAGTAAGTAATTTTGGACAATTTTTCACTACTTAAAGAGAATATGTAATTATATGTTAAGAAATAGATGGAACTCTGGTGACATACTGAGTAAGGTATCCAGCTGCTAATCAAAAGGCCAGAAGTTCAAAACTACCAGCCACTCCAAGGAAGACAGGTGGGCAATCTCCTCTCATAAAGATTTACAGACTCAGCATCAGAAGGTTGTTAAGAGTCAAACCTAATTCCACTGCAGTGCATTACTAAGAAATGGATATATGTCATTATTATTGGGTTCATTTTCATTAGCCTGATAGAGAATCACTGAGTCCATAAGAGTATATAAAATCAGTTCTAATTTAAAGGGACAGGGTGCCCTTATTGCCTTCATACCTGGGTTTCATTATTACTTCTAAGGTTATTTTTTTAAATGCACTGTGAGGACTCATGAATGTGACTACAATTGTTACTTGTTCTCTCTATTGAAACATAAGGAAGAAACCAAGGATCAGATCTATAAATAATAACAGAGATAGTCCAGGACCAGGCAGTTCACTGTGTCCTGAGTCACCATGAGTTGGGCAACTCAATAATAACTAACAACAATAAGGATTTCTGAGAATCTTCCACCTCCTTCAAGCCTAATTTTATCACAACAAATATTACAAATACTATTTCAGTTTAAAGAAAGAGCTAGTCCTGGTCTTGAAGGTGGTTATCCAAATCTATACACCCCAAGTTAAAAAAGAAGCCAATGTCTAATCATTTTGAAATTGAAATTCTTTTTAAAAAAATTAAACAGAGGATTGTATGTAGTTTACCAAAACCAAACCCACTGTCATCAGGCTGATTGTGACTCTACAGATCAGAGGACAATCCTCAGTTTCACATAAAAATGTCATTGTCATCAAAACCAAATGGTGACTTTAACAAGAGTAATGATGTTGAAATACTATTGGTGAAGTACCAGAACCCTAGTTTGGGGAGGAAGTGTTATTTTGCTCTTACTAATTAGAAAAGAAAAAAAAAAAGATCATGACAAGCTTTTAATGAAACTTTCAGATGGAGAAGAAGGGATCACCTTCCTACTTCAGATCAGTTATGCAGTTGTCAGGGTGACATAAGCACGGAGCATACAGGAAAAAGAAAGCGCACGCACAAGCAGTGAGGAACTACAGGGTAGCAGTGGCCCCAAAGAGACCAAGCAGCAGAGATCAGACACCGTGAAGTAGCAAGTAGCCTTTCTCCTGCCTGACAAGGAAATCTGAGAGCAGGTCCCCTACAAAAGTATATCTTGGCCAGAAAGGCCAGTGTAGGTATTCAGCACCGCCCAGGCACCATCCCACACAAGTCCCAGGTCAAGTGAGAAGTTAGGAAGATCTGAGTTCTGTAAAAATAACAGGAATACTGGTTGTAAGAATACAGTCTCCGCGGTAGGAGAGACCAACAAAGAGACATCAACCAAGTCGGTAAAAAAACACACAGCGTGTATCTACAATCTCTCTCCTCTCGCCTGAACCGGAGGTAAACTGTGGAGGACCCAGCAGTCAGGGAGCAGAAGCAAAGGGTCCCGCCGGCGGGAAGCACTGCATGGACGCACCCACCCTTCACCTGCCGGGGCGCGCAGGGCGAAGCGCACGGTGGAGGCGGGGGGCGTGGGGACAGGACAGGGACACCCTCACCTGGCAGAAGCACCTCTGCGCCGCCGTCTCCGCGGGCTGCTGGCCGCCGCCGCCCGAGCCGAGGACGTGCACGGCGCCCAGCAGGCCGATCAGGAAGCCCCAGCCGCGGCCCATAGCCGCTCCAGCAGCTCGTCGCGCACCGCCCGAAGCCTCCAGCAGCCGGCGCAGGCCGTGCGCCCTCAGATGAAGCCCGCGCGGGCCGGCCCCCGGCGGCGCCCCACCTCCCGGCCGCCTCCCAGGCCCGCCCTCGCCTCTCCCGCCTCTCAGCAGCCGCCACCCTCGCAGGAGCCTGCGGACGTGCTGCGGCGCCCGCGCAGGCCACCGGGTCCCTTGAACCGGCTTCCTTCTTCGGCGCGTGAGGCTGACGCACCAAGCCCGCTGCCCGGCCCGGCCCGGCCCGCGGCCGCCTCGGCCCCTGGACGCCCCCGGCCGGGACACTGGGCCTGGCGCGCCAGCTCCCCGCTCTAGGGCGGGAGGCAGGGTCCCACCAGCTCCCCGGGCGAGAGCGCAAGTCAGAGGGGCCTGTGTTTTCCCGCAGGGCCCCGCCCCACCCCTGCTCTCTGCCGGCCAATCCTTAGATATCTCAACGCAAGGAAATCAAACCCTACGAATTACGTGTCCATCGTGTCCCTGGCAGGCTGCCTTAAAGCTAAAAGGGACATCATCAGAGACATTCCTGACCAGCGCCGTCCAATAGAGACAGAATATGTAATTTACATTTTTTTAGCAGCTACACCACAAACGTAAAAAGAAACAGGTGAAACTAATTTTAGTATATTTTCTTTAATGCACATGTGAAAAATTAGATTTCCAAGTATAATAAATATTAAAAGCATTAACAAAATATTTTACTTTTTTTGTCTCTGAAAGCTAATGTGTGTATATCATACAGACGATGCACAGTTCATCACTACATGTGCCTAGTAGCGACTGTATTTTGAGAACTTATATGGGGAGAACCGTTTCAATTTAGGGAAGGAAACAGACCCAGAGAGGAGAGGGGATCTGGGTTTAGTCTATTGGCATCTGATTG